AGGCGCCAAAACGTATAATACTTTTAAAAACCGTTTAAAACTGCATTTTCACTCTTTTTAAACCATATTCTTTTTACCATCTTTGTTTGTCTTTTTTTAATGCCATTTTACTTATAAGTTCTATTATTATCTATTTAATATGATATAATATTATTTATATATTTATGTACCCATAATATATTAAATATTATTATTATTATAAGTATTTTGTCTTGTATTAATCTTATTATATTTATGTAAATATAATATTATTATTATGTACATATGTAAGTATTTTTGATATGTAAGTTTATTCATAGTATTAAAAATGAATTATTGTTATTATTGTATTATTATTATTATGGTTTTATTATTATTATTATTACTACTATATAGTTCACACCCCTTACAATAAAGAGTATTTATTATTATTATTATTTCTCTTTTTTTGAAGTTATTTAACAAATATATATATATATATATATATATATATATATATATATATATATATATATAATAAATGCATTAACATTAAGACCAAAGTATAACAAAATTGGTCTAAACTAGAATCAAATTCTAACTGACATCAATATTATTACTGAGTACTACTGTTACACTTCACATGTGGTCTCAGGTTCGAGTCCCGGACCAAGTCAAGAGATATAGCCATGGTATTTTTTCTGTCAAGAAATTAAGACTAAAATGTCACTAGACTACAACGTGTAATCGTTCGCTGCATGATGTAACAAAAAAAATACAAGCAATAATTTTTTTAATAAATGCGTGGTAATAAAAAATATATAATAAGCTGTTTCAAGAATGTTTCTCTTAAAATAATTATTCATTCCTTACATCGTAGAATTCAAAATAAACCTTAAATTAATGATATCATCTTCTATAATTTAGAAATGTGTAGGAAAAAATAATTATATTTTAAAATAAAAAATGAAATATGTTAGTACATTAACACACAACATCATCTAGTTCCATGGTAAGCTACGAGGCTTGTGTTATGGTTACCAGAGAGTTGATACCCTACACATATATAACTTTAAATACATACATATTATAAATATAAACACCCATGACTACTGGAATATAAACGTTCGTGCTCATCACACACATGCCCGCAGCGAGACTCGAACCCACGCACGCTGGCACAGCGCGTATTCACTATAAACTGAGCCAAACGTCTCGTCCAAATTAAACATTCGTACATTACATACACATACATAAGTGATAGAGTATAGATTAGGCCATCTAGTTCGTTGAAATCCATACCAATATTAAATATGCGAAAGTAAGTCAGTCTGCCTGTCTGTCTGTCCTTCACCTTTTTATGCTTAATCCATCGAACATCTGCATTTTACATACAAAGTTTCAAATCTATGCATTAATCAAGTTAAAATTGACTGCAAAAAAATTACATAAAAGTAATAATGCTAATATTTAAGTAAAGCTAATAAAAGCGTATTAAAATGATTTAAGTCGATTCATAATCGGCGAGGATATCACTCCCATTTTTAAAGTTGGTTAAATATTAAAAATAAGAGATTAAAATGGTGAAGTGTGCGACGTTCAAAAAATTGCTTACAATACACGTATACATTTTACAGCTCAGGCTAATGAATAATGTAGATGGAGTCCGCCAAAATAAATGTCAAAGTCAAAAATTGTAGCCTGTATTCTGTTTTAAAACATAATAAAAATTGTAAATGTAAATTATTGTTTGGCTTTAAGTTTAGTTCTATGACTTGTCTGTATATTTTTTAGTCTGGGTTGTTGACATATAAAATTTACACATAATCAAATATGTAAAAAATAATAATAATAATTTACTAAAACACTTAATGGAAATAATAAAAAATATTTGACTAATAAATATTTATATTTTTAAGCAGTGTTTATATTGAAATATTAAAATATATTTCTTTTAAAAATTAGTATTAAGAAAACCAGAAAAAAAGCACCTATATGTGTATAAGGGTGACGCAAAAAGACCGACTATTTTTTTCGTGTTTCGTATGAAAATATGTTAGTTTTTCATGTTTTAACAGTCCTCTTTAAAGTTCAGCTCGAAAAAAAATTTTTAGGGGTGACTCAAGATTTTTATTATTACAAGAATTTTAAAATGGTAAAAAAAATCTTTTTTTAATTCTTACTTATTTTAACAGTATTCTTTAAAGTTCAGCTTGAAAAAATTTTTTAGGGGTAACTCAAGATTTTTTATTATTACAACAATTTTTAAAATGGTAAAATGGTCAATTTTTTTTAACTTTTACTTACTCTTCCTTAACCAAAGTTACAGCTTAAAATATTAAGTTTTAATGGTTAGAATTAATGAAATTTTTTAAACATTTAATGTTCCCTAACAAATTTTTAAAAATCCTAGGTAATTTTAAAGATGACTTTAAAAACATAAAAAATTAACTTACTTACCTTACATGTATGTATACGCTTAATCTACCAATAAAAGAAAATGGCTCAGAAACTATTTTTACATGATTTTTCTATATGCATAATTCTCTCAAAGTTAAATGAACTACGATAGACTTGTGTACTCGAATAACTTATATTTAAAACAAATAGTTTAGGCCTTTTTTAGGCCATTTATTTAGATACCTTAAGTACATAATAAATGTTACTACCGTCTCCTGGACTACAAAATAAAATCTTAATGAAGTAATAGTCTTGAACTTGGTTTAAGTTACTTACACTGGGTTATTATAATATTTTCATTATAGCATGATACGAACATGGATCAAAAAAGTACTACATACACGATCCCATACAAAAGTTCTCGTAAAACTGTCACCAATTGCGTTTAGGTAATTATTCCAGTTGAAATAAATATACAGCAATGTAAATAAAACCTTAAATGCAATGCTTGAAGTTTTCACAAAAAAAAAAACAAATTAAAAACGCGCTCTTTCGGTGAGGACATTTTTTATCGCTGATTGTGTATCTAGTACTTTTTTTGGTAATGTGACAATTTTCATCAATTTATCGATAGAGACTATAAGGGTAAAATCTTAAAGACGTGACATTAACAAAGTAATCTGTGCTCAACTGGCCCGCTTTGAAGACATTAACAAAAGAATTGAAGAGAAATTAAAAATATTTAAAAAAAAATACATTTTAATATATTCATATAATTCTCTCTTTCTCGACCGTTCATCGATATTCCATCGTACCAATAATTTTCATCACTAACACGTTTACATGCATAACAAATTTAAACGTCTTTTTTAAGCAACGAATGTATTAAAAAATAATTATAATAGGTTACATAAAAACTCCACGTTTTTGGAAGTCGGTTTAAAACTTCCTTGATTCACTACAGTTATGAAATATTAAGTCTTACTTATTGCTTATAAGTTTAAGGTTATTAGGCCATAAAAAAAATATGTACAATAAAAAAATTAAGGCCATAAAATGTTAAAAAATATGTAAATAAATAAAGTAAATATTACGCCATATGTATTTGCAAATCACAGGAACATTCATTAATGAAAACTGAAAAGGAACAGTTTTACAAAATATGTCACCCGTACCGTGCTACAATGAAAAAAGTGTTGTAGTTATTTTTTTCCCTCATATTTTATTATTTTTTTTAAGCGATATATCTAATAATAAATATTTTTTGGCGTAACTTGTGTATATTTATTATTTGGTATTTGTCATGTACATAAAGGAATAGACTGAGTGATAGAATCTGATAGTATTGAAGTGACGTGTGAGCGAGACAAAACCATCCGGATAGTTATTATCTCTTTCTATAATACCAATTTACATATAGGCTTTTTGGGCTGCAGCCCAAAGACATAATGGCCTTGTTGAAATCAATGGATATATTGTAATTTTAAATAAAAAAAAATTAAGGCTACAAAAGGTTGGTCTGAAACCCTGAGATGAATTAAGAACCACCCAATAGAGTTATTTTAGTATGGTTTAGTCATATCTATAATTTTAGATTTTAAAAAGACAAAATTACAATAAGTTTAGCCCCAAGAAGCCCCTAGTTTTGGGCATATTATTTTCTATGAAGGTATAATACAATAAGGTATGTTGATATAAAGTAAGTCATATTTAATGCAAGGTATAAGTTATCTCCAGCCATATCTATATTTGGAACTTCGCTCTAAACTGTTGAACCGTTACAATGTAAAGAAGTATTAATCACATTCATTCATTCGCTCATTCTCAATTTATTTATTTTTCAAAAAAGAAAGTACCAAAATAGTATTAAATCGGAGTGTTGCTATGAGTGAAATTATAAGTAATATTATATAGAATAAAATATTATTACAAATAATTTAATAGATTTAAAATAAATATGGATATATCGAGTGTTTTAGAGAAAGGGTTCATTTTGAGAAACCATAGCCTAGTCCATTCCTATATTTAAACCAGGGCTCGGAACCGGTTTAAAAAGAATGTTTAACTTCGGTTAACCAATAGATAATTCATCGCTCGTTTGTTAACCGGTTAATAAAAACGAACGGTTTAGTTAACCGAAATAATAATCGTTAACAGTTATTCTTAGAGAAAGTTTACATTTAGGTTTTGATACCGAAATGAACTGGTTAATTCGTCCCGCGCCCTAATTTAAACTAATTATTTAAAAAAAGTCGTATATACTAAATAAGCCTGATAACTTTCTTTCCTATCAGCAGTACACTGAAGATGTACTGCGCCGACCCCAAGTGATTTGGGAAATGGGCAGGGAGAAGAAGAAGAACTTTCTTTGCCGTTGGCGGCGCCACAATCAATGCCATACATATGCAATATTATTTTCGCTGAGTCTTCAGAAAGATATTGTCATACGAAATGGTTTCAGACTTACATACTTGTAAAACCGCCTAAAATTTATTGTACTTAAACAGATATAAATAAAGGAATAGTCCTATCGACGTTACTTGCTAGTGGCGACATCTATGATGCTTTTTATGTGAGACCTAATATTAATTAAAAACACTTTGAAATAATTACAAAAAGGATATATATGGTAGTTATTGTCAGTTATGCGATGTGAAATTGTGTCTTTTCATGTGAGACACCAACTGGAGCACTCTATAACGAGCTTTGTTTATGGTCAGATACATTTCTGGCGTGAATGGATCAAAATTGGGATATTTTTTTATTCTCCTGTAAATTCCTTCGCGGTTCTCTATCGCGCAGTTCATATCTTCCTGAAATTTATCAAAATTCTTACATAAAGTGTTATTCCTTATATTACTAGAGTCTAGAGACTTAACTCTTCGTCCGAGTCTCCGTTGCGAGTGTATCTTAGGAGATAGACTTTTCTGTAGTCCTTTTCAAGACTTATAATTTTGTAGTACATTGTTTTGATGTATCTCTTAAGGTTTAGCCAGCATTAGCCATATAAATTTCTTAAGACGACTCGATTCACTATGAAATAGTTTTAACCCGGAAATCATCGCTTAACGGGGTGAGAATGGGGATGAAAGTTTGTATTGGGAAGCTAGGGACGAACCCGAGCGAAGCGAGGGTGAGTCGCTAGTGTACAGATAAATGAAGTTTTTGTGTGTGTTTTTATATTAGTTATTTCTTCAGGCCATGGATGGATTTAGATAAAAATAATAAAATTTGCCAAAAGATGGCGGTAATCCCACCAAAAGATGAAAATACAAAACCGAGCTGGGCGTTTCTCAGGAAAGATTTTTTTTAAATTGCGTTTTTTCAGAAAAGACACATATATAGATAAAATTAAAAAAAAACAATACCTTATCCAAATACAAAGTTTGATCCAAATCGTTAGAGCCGTTTCCGAAACGAAACGAATCAACACACACAAACACGAAATAAATTTATAAATAATATACAAGAATATACCAATAGATCATTTAAAATTAAAAAAAAAACTCCATATTTTTATATTAAATCCAAAAGGCATCTAGGGTCTAGAGGCATTCATCCAAGTAAAGCGAGATTATTTCACAAGTTTAAAAAAATATATAAAATATCCTTACCTCACTCACGGTATAATTGAGAAAATTCAATATCCCTCGTAAAGTCTCCCGTGTGTCACGCACTAACATTTCATAGAAAACTATATGTATGGGACCGAGAAACTTATGCAGCCAGAGCCTGTGCAGCGACTCCCACATTGTGAGCTGGTTGGTCACATATGTAGGCCAATCTGCAAATATATCAGAGTAAATTTTGTAGCTAAAACAGATATTATACTTTATTGGACCAGTGTTTCTCAAACTTATTGCAGTCCTGGACCACTTTTAGAATTTCTAAAATTCCACTGTCAAAGAATATTGTAGGGAAAAAACACAAAAAATTAAAAATCACTTTTATTGGTAATTTACTTACACTTAATTTAATATTATCAAATGAGCTCATGACATAGATGGATGAAACAAACAATGAGTTAATTTATTCCACAATTTTTAATTATTGTTAAGCGCTAACTGAGCTGTTGCAGACCCCTGGCACACATATTACGGACCCCCCGGTGGTCCATGGACCCTACTTTAAGAAACCCTGCCATAGACTAAACCATATAGGAATATTAAAAATTTGACAAAACAAAGGGACGTTTCGAATACTTTACAGCAATTATGGTCGTGGAAGAGGCTAAGGTTTTAGACGTCTCAAAGGTCATTATATAGTTTATAGTATAGGTGAGTCTGGAATGGCACATAAACTACGTTTATACTGGAAAATGTATGGTTCCCGTGGGATAGACTTGTTATATAAATATAATATAAATATGAAACATACCAACATTTTTTAATTTTTGAGAATGTTTAAATGCTGATTTCGGCGCTGTTCCAATATGACCCTTGTGAAGTCTATTAAAGTCTGCCTGAAAATCGAATAACACTATTTCTTTACAGTCTTGTCACTAAACTTAGATATTTTCATACTTTTAAAATAAATATTTTGAAACTTTAATAAAAAGACGAGGAGAAAACACAATTATTATTTTAATAAGAAAATCTGAAGAAAAAAATATAAACAAAATAAAAAAATTACCATTTAAAATTCAGCTAAACGCAGAAGCATAGTGTTAAAAGCGGCAACACAGAACACTGAAATTTGACATAACATAAAACAGATTAGAATAATATTATACTGATCTGTGAAGTACATAAATAATAAAATATAAACATAAAAACGATTAAGTTCTTGACATGCAAAATAAAATACTTAATCCTAGTACAGATTATGCTTAAAGCATCAAAAACTAATAAGATATATTTTGTTTATAAGTGCAGGATAACATGATGTGGGTCTGAACATTCCATAATAAAAAAAAGATCATTATATATAAAATCTATGAAGCTTATATACATGGCAGTAACCAAATAATAAGAAATCTATGAAAGCTAGTTACATTTAGTTTTCTTAGAAATGCAATGTTATACTATGATCTGCTAAATGCAAATATTTTAATAAACAATTCATTAAAATACAGAGAGTAATATAAAACTTTCAACACCTAAAATTATTGTACCTTTTAATTTTTATGCATTATGTAAAAAATTAAAAATATTTAAAAAAAAATTGTTTACCAATATAGCATCTCTAGGGTTCCTTATAAGTAAAATAGCAGATTTGAATTTATCGGGCTCAAGAGGTGGAGCCTCATGGGTTTTAACTACTAATACAGAGCCATCTGTTACATTTTCTGCAGGAAATCCATGATTGCGAAGACCATAATCCATGTATATAGAACCAGTTACTATCCCTAAAAATATAACAGATATATTTATATAAATTCGATTATAAGGTATGTTCAATTCAAAACAGAGTTAATAGGTATTGAACAATTTTTTATGTAAATATTTCTCTATAAATGATAAGCATCTATTTTTATACGTAAATCTTACCTGTCACCTGTTGCAAAAGATATCTAAGCCAAGTATTCCCGCTGCCTGGGAAAGACACAAGTGCCACTACATCAGGTGATGGAGGAACGCGCCATCGCAAGCTCTTACACCAATCCACTCTGGGTGCTTCACGAAGGCCAAGATGACTGATCATATTATTACCGTAAAAAGTTTTAACACCTTGTAATGGACGCAGCATAAATATTATTAACGAGAAGTATACTACTATTACAATCGCGACAAGTAAGAATGTTTTTCTACGCGACATTTTTTAGATAAAATATCATAATTTCATTAATAACGTATAACATTAGCAGGTATATTTAACTATAATTTTTAACGCGATTGTTTTTTTAGATACCTATCTAAAGAACTACTAATCTCTCTAACAAATACGCCATTACTATACGTTAGTGATTTATTGTTACGCTAATATTAGCTTAACTTTTGTTTATATCCTAAAAATTGTTTCTAAAAATCCTTTCAAATTCATTTCGATTTTCGAAATTGACATTTGACAACTTTCAACTTTGCTAATTGCTATTCTTTGTTGTGTTGACATATAAGAAAAATGTTCTTGTTAATGTTGCTATAAAAATATAATAAAAATGTTTTATTTTTCATTCAATATATTCAGTTTCTTAGAGAAATCAGTTATTACAATTAATTTACTTGACCATTTATATATATTTGGGATTACATAAAGTTGTAGTAAAAAACATTTTCACTATTATAAATTTATTAGAATAAAAAATATTTTTTTTTTTATTCCTTTTAAAAAAAACTAAATTAGGATGATCCAGATATACGTATTTTTCGCAAAATCGTATGGCAATTTTCAATATTACCTGTACAAATTTCCAAGTACATTTGTAACGGTAAAACTCTCGGTGAATTAATTTGAAGCATAATCTTTCTAGCTGTGATCAGATCCCCTCTCAATATATGACATACAGCTGCTTTAGCCCACACGCAGACAGCAATCATGTCTCGCATTTGATATGGAAGGCCTGAGACTAAATCGTGAATCATTGGAGGATGTAAGTGATCCACCGCATCAACAATTTTGTCTAGATTTATCAGAGCTTCGGCTGCATAGATATGTGCCCATGCCTTCTGGTCATTAGTAGCATCAGGTTGACTGAGTAACTCATTTGCAGACATGAGTGCAGATAAAGGATCTTGCAAATGAAGGAATATATAACTTTGTAAAACCAAAATGGAGTTCTTCAAGTCACATCTTTGTTTCCAGTTTATAGGAGGCCCTGGTGGAGCTTGAATTACAATTGTAGCTGTCTCTGTTACAGTTTCTTGATCGGGAATTAAAGTTATTGCATTTCTTAAACAAAGTGCTGCAAATTCTAAAGATAGTGAGGGTATTGCAAATGATTCACCAGATGTTGAATATTTTTCTTTATTGTCTTTAGATAGTAATATTCTTGTGTGTGGTCCACTACCTAGCTTTTTGACTGTAAACTGTTGTGCTTCACCACTGCAGCATTTTTTAACACAACACTCGGCTAATCTTAGCCAAATGCGTGGGTTGTTTGGATAGTGGCGAGCAGCTTCTACCAAACATTCAAATGCTCCTTCAGAGTTATTAGCAGCCAATAATGCCAAACCTAAATTGTAAACATAAAGTGGTCGATCTTTACATGCTATTAACATTTCACTGTCTTCACTCTCCATTGCTCTAAAATGTTCTTTTACAGCATGTTGGAAATATTTTGATGCCAAAAAAGGTTTTTTAATAGATAAATATATGGCTCCAAGATTATTGTTAATTGCTGCCCAAATATCTTCTCCTTGAGTTTTCAGATCATAATTGAACTTTAAAGTTTTATATTGCCCCAGAGTGTTAGCAGCATCAATAATGTCACCATTTATATATTTCTGGTGGGCTATAAGAAAAATGTTTTCAATCGAGTCTGGTTTAAGCTTAACACTTTGTCCAAGATATAATTGTGCCCTAGTTACAAGTCTTTCATACAAATCACTAAATTCATTATTTGTTTTAAGAGCTTCTCCATGAATTTTTGCAATTTCCATGGCTTTATCATATGTCCGTCTGCATAAAGTTGCTTCTAATAAAAGTAGTACAATTCTATGAAGTAGTTTTATATCTTTAATATTTTTACAAGTTAATAGTTTTTCTAATACAACAGTACATTGATAGTAATACCTTGAGTGATAAAGAATAACAGCATAGTTATACAGTAAGCATGGCATACTCAAATCTTTCACTTCCGCCTCTGGAAATGTAAATCCTGTGTATTGCATGATCGACTTTTTAAAATTTTCGATGTTTTTCATCTCACTGGCCTCAAATTCAACAACTGCTTTGTTGTGTTGCACTCGTTTCAATAAGGTACTGTTGTTACATACCAAACCTTCCAATTCATTTAAATGTTGTAAAGCCCCAGTATAGTCCTTTTTCAAGTAGCATTGGTGGGCAAGAACAGCTGGTTCATCTTTAGAATTTGCCATAGTTTATATCTTATTGGATATTTAAATATTGTAAGACTGAGAAATATTCTACAAATAAACAATGATAAATTGCTTATGACAGCAATAGTCAATAGTGACAAATGTGAAATGACAATGATAAGTGACAACTGACATTAATGTCATTAATGTTCCGGAGAGCTATTATGCACAAACATTAACCTAAATTAATAAAGCCAATTTAAAATATAAAGAATTTACTTATGTTATATATAGTATTGTACAATATTTTTTATACATTACAATGTCTTCAAATAATATTTAAAAACCAAGCCAAAATATATATTTAAGTTGTTCAATTATTTTGATCGCATATGAATTGGCCTTTTTTCTTCAAGTCCATAACTAAACCAATCGGAATCCGTTTATTTTAAGAGTTTTTTTTTTATTTAAAACCTGAAGTTTTATGATTTTAAAATATTAGCGTAATAAATTAGCGTGTGAAAAAACAGTGGTAGCCCAGTAGTAACGCTCTCGCTTGGGAAACCGAGTGATGCGAGTTCAAATCCCGGGTCTCGCACCTCTGATATTTTCATGTGCGAATCATTTCCAACATGATTACTACTTGTCTTAACGGTGAACATTGTGAGGAAACCTGCATGTCTGAGAGAACCTAGCAAGTTTTCAAAAGACATGTGAAGTCCGCCAATCCGCACTTAGCCAGCGTGGTGGACTATGGCCTGATTCCCCTCGTACTAAAGGGAGGCCCGTGCCCAGCAGTGGGACGTTAAAAAGGGCTGAATACAAATTAGCGTGTGAAAATATTAGGTATATAAGGAATAGAAATGCGTAAAATGCCCCCGATGTCCAGCTACCCCCGAGAAATGGGGAGATGCAATGCGTTGAAAAATAGTTTTTTTCAATTTTCGGCTTGCTGTGACCTTCTATCGAAAAATGTTTTCTGCAAAAGTTGTACGTCTAGTAAAAATCTACACTATTCATACATAACACTTTTTACAATAACCTCAAAGTTTTCGAAATATTTGCAGAAAACTCAGTTTTTAACTTTTTCTTGGTTTTTATTTCTAATTTCTAGAATAATCTTTAGATTTTTATGAAACTAAGGGAATGTAATTCTAAATAAATAGGCCGCGTTGGGGGACCGCTCCGGACCGAAGAAAATCGTAGATAATAAATAATAATTTGGAGCGGTCCCCCAACGCGACGTATTTTCAACCGACTTCAAAAAGGAGGAGGTTCTCAATTCGACTGTATTTTTTTTTATGTTTGTTATCTCAGAACTTCGTCATTTATTAACCGATTTGAACAATTTTTGTTTTGTTTGAAAGGGTATACTTCCAGATTGGTCCCATTTAAATTTATAAAAAAAATACCACCCCTAAGGGTGGAAAAATAGCTAATGATGGATTTAACCTACTTCTAAGTATCATATTGACTTGAAACTTTGCAAGTGTTTCTATTTCCGTTGATAGTACAGTGGTTCGGTATTGTTGACCTGATCTGATGGTAAGGCCAGAAGGTGGATAGGTGGAACTCTTCAACGGCTAATAGTAGATACTTTGAGTTTGGGCTTATTTTGTTTGATTCGATAAGCCTAACACGTTAGAATTCTTACTTTGCTACTACTGTCTACACTAAAAAGGGAAAAATAAAAACTTTTTAACAAAAAAATAAAAACCGACTTCAAACAAAACCACTAAAGAGTAAAAAATAACTGATTGGTAGTTTTCATTTACTATACATACATAATCAAATATTTTCGAAGTCGGTGTGCTTTGGCTAAGTAATTAAAGCCTACCTATTAAATACATACCTAATCAAATATTTTCGAAATCAGTGCCAGTCCATACAAAGCAAAGCACACCGACTTCGAAAATATTTGATTAGGTATGTATAGTAAATGAAAACTACCAATCAGTTATTTATTACTTTTTATTTTTAGAATTATTAATACATACTTAGTTACTTTAAGATTGAGTTTTTTTTATTATTTTTTAATTTTTTAGGGATACTTAGGTTTTTGTGTCGGGAGTTTTTAAATTTTTAATTTAATTATAATCAATATCTTAGCATTTAACGGATGCAAAGTAGATCAAAGGGTAATTTTATGAATTTAAGTCATATTTCTACAATGATTTATCATAGTTTGTTTTATTTTATCATTTTTTACATTTTTTTATGATTTTTTAACATAACATAAATTATCACTAATATTAATATTGCCTCAGTTGATCACCCATGGGGCTGTAACCACGAAACCGCTCGAGAAGCACACACTACGAATAAAAACCGCGAAACCGCCTGCGATTTTCACAGTTTAAGATGGATGTTAAAAGAGCAAGTATGTAATATTGCTCTAATACAAAAAAATAGAAATAGAAGACGTCAACGCAAATTTCGCAAATATTGGGTCCATCCACTCTCTAGCCGTACATTTAAGAAAGGTTTCGTTCTTAAGAAATATCAAGATTTAAGAGAACATCCTGAGAAATTTTTACACATTTTTTTATAATATCACTCTTCACGGCGTTTACTTGACTTACAAAATCACGCGATTAAAAACCGCGGTGGTTTAGCCGTAGTGCGGCCTAGCTCTAAAACAGGGAAGGTTCCGTTGGATTTTATAGGATAGTACAGGCTGTTCCAGCTGGTAAGTCTCCACTTAACCAGCTGTTTTATTAGCGGTACGCGTATCTTTTGCTTTTTTTAGATATATATGCGATATATTATATTCTAGTTAACGCTGACGTAAATTGAGTAGATACAAAGTTATTTTCTATCAGCTTAGTAAAGAAATATATTTTTTTAAAGGAGCGTCAGTTAAGTCATAAGCCGGCCCTTTTCAGAGAGGGGGGTAGCTTCCTTAGGATATCAGATTAAAGAACAATATCAGCTTAAAGAAAAGAAAGGAAAGATTGCAGATGCAGAAGTGTTTGTCTATATGAATAAAGTATGTTTTAACATTTTTTGATTCATATTCCCTCCCTAAAGAGATAAAAAATTTAATAAATTAGATATGTAGAGATAATCCAAGGCGAACTGATAAAAAAAAATGATATCAGTGGTTTATACACGTTTACACACTACGTTTTATAATACAGTTGAAGCGCGTCGTCCATGTTATAGGTACTTTGGCAGCTGACAAACTTAAAAAATATGTATATTTGTATCGAATATTTCCAAAGCGCGTTAAAATGCGTAATTTGTTGCGTGTATAGGCCATAAAACATTTTTTAAACACAGATCAATACTAGAATTTTATTTAATTGAAATCTGTAAATATTATAAAATTCTAACCGATTCGAATCAGTACATTAAATATTTTTTCGAAAACTTTTTTAAAATAGTCGTTATTATCGGTTGAGGCCGAAACTATAGTTCTTAGAATTTTTGTCTGTCACGAGAAAAACACTGGACAGATTTCGACCTACCCTACCCCAGCCTGCAAATTTATGATATTCGCAATGAAAAAAATACTAATCGATAGATTTTTAATAGCTCAATTCAACTACGTAGCCCTTCCAAATTGCTCACCATTAATTATAAAATTAAAAATCAATAAAGTCCTTGAAAAAAAATTCATTTATCCGTATATTCAAATTTCTATATCTTTTGATATATACAATATTTTAAATTGCTCAAAGTTCTAAAATACTGCTCAAGTTGCATTTGTAATTGCTCAAGTAGAGTTCTCACCAGCTCCACTTTCCTTAATTATTAAATGAATATAAATAGTTTGAATAAATTTACGTACTTATTTTGTTTTGGAGCAAAGAAGAATATATAGAAAATACTTTGTAAACAGACATAAAGTTACAAAATAAAGTTACCTTTTAGTCATGATTTGATTTTTGTATAAATTGAACATATTCATAAGTCAATAAATAATAAAAATACCTGATAATAGATGATGTTGTGCTTGGAGTATTACAGTTTCATTTCACTATGATGAGGTTATGAAACACTTGATTTTTTTGCCTTGCGACTCGCGTTACTGTTTGCGCGCATGCGCAGCACTCACCTATCTATACGTTAAATTTATTCAAACTATTTATATTTATTTAATAATTAAGGAAAGTGGAGCTGGTGAGAACTCTACTTGAGCAATTACAAATGCAACTTGAGCAGTATTTTAGAACTTTGAGCAATTTAAAATATTGTATATATCAAAAGATATAGAAATTTGAATATACGGATAAATGAATTTTTTTTCAAGGACTTTATTGATTTTTAATTTTATAATTAATGGTGAGCAATTTGGAAGGGCTACGTAGTTGAATTGAGCTATTAAAAATCTATCGATTAGTATTTTTTTCATTGCGAATATCATAAATTTGCAGGCTGGGGTAGGGTAGGTCAGATTTCGACGAAATTTGGTATTATGCTAGCTGGTTATCTGGGTCAACATATACGGCAGGAAAATATTTCATCTAGGAACGTATAAATTGTCAGTCTGAGGGGTAGTTTATATTAAAGGAAGTGATGTCTTGTATTTTTTTTGTTTATTTTTTTATATTATATTTATGTACATACTTACATTTAAAAGAAATCTAAATTACCAAGAATAGTTATGATTATTTCCTATCTATGCTAATATATAAACCTGAAGAAATATGTTTGTTTGACTGTGCTAAAACTGGTGCCACCAGTTCGAATCAAACTTTTTTTTCCATATTATGCCCAGCCATAGATTATTAATTGAAGAAGGTTATAAGGCTATCTTACATCAGGCCGACTACTTAGGAGCTTCATTTTTTAAATAAATTACAAGAATTGAACCGCTGATAAACTTCAATACTATATACTTTTTTCTATTTAGGTACTTCTATTTTATATTTTTTTGAAAAATTTACAAAAACGATTCGAAACGTGAATGGGCAAAAAAGGTGTACTACAAGGAAGCATAGGTTTCATTGTTTTTTAATTCATCAACAACATCACAGGTCACAACCATAACTTAAGTTAACACAGAGGTTTTAATATTAACAATAGAGACTAACAATATTTTAAATTTATTATTGCTTATTACAATTTCGACCACGCCAATGTTTCCAAATATAATAAACATTGTTCTTAAGGCACAAAAATATACACCTGTATTTATGAAGTAATTGATAATTTTATCAAAAGTTTTTTTTATATTTAATTTTTTTTTTTAATTTTGCTTCACCAAAACAAACTTGTTCTACGGTAAACTTTCTCTTATATCTGACATTATTTCATCCACATCAACTGAAGCTGTAGACCTTTGTTGATCATTAGTAAATCTCTTAAATCCTTTTTGTTTGTTATTATTAAAGGCAAACATTCTTTCTGTCTTCCCATTTCCGCCATCTACTTCCATAGACTGTGGCTTCTTTTTTTTATTTTTGTGTTTAGGTTTTGTGTCAAATCTGAAGTCTTTGGGCAATTTGTGTATTTTCACACAATGATCTAATCTTTCTTCGGCAGTCATGAATTTTTCTTTGCATTCTTCTATGTAACAGGAGTACTGCAAGTAATATTTATTTATATTAAGGTTTCATAAAGATTTATCTTTTTAATTATTTTTTTTGTTTTTTAAAAATTTATTTTTAAACCACTCATTTATATAAAACCTATTCATTAAAAAATAATTACTCTACAATTATTCAAAATTGTGTGTAACATACAAACCAAAAAATATACATAGATTATACGATTAAAATAATTAAGTGACTCCTCCTTTTTTAAGTTGGCTAAAAAAGCAGCACCTTAAGCCATAGCTATATAATAGAAATAAACACCTTCTCCATCCTTCCACCAATTAGTACCTACATTTAAATAGCGCAATAAACCTAAAAAGGTCAAAACTTACTGAAGGTCGTTTTGCCGCTAATACTGAGAAGAAGGAATCATGTTGCTCTTGAAGATGCAAATCTAAGAGATGTGGTGAGGGAAGACACTTCTTGCATTGACTGCAGGCAAACCTATGAGAGGCATTATAATGATTTTCGAAGTCCAATAGAGAGTCTGCTGTGAAATTGCAACCGGGAACAGTGCATGCTGTTTGGATACTGTAAGAGAATAAGTTTTATATAGGACTATGGCGTACTTAAAATTAATAGCTTACTAGGATAAGCAATGTGCATAATGGTAGGTATATATAAGCAGGCAAACTGTAACTACAAGGTAAGCCCCAAGACGAGATTGAAGTGAGTGATGATCAGTCAGGCAATTGTATATTAAATTCTTTCCAAATTTTGTCACGATTTCATACGAACGAAAGCTATTGTAGCTAGCATTTTGTAACTTTTGTGAAAAGTCTTTACATTAGGCTTGTTTCAGTTCAACATCAAGCAGAAAATTTCGAAGATTTTTTTAACTAATCACAGTTTTAGGTAGGTATACTAAATAACTAAACACCCACGTTTTTGATCTATAGGACTCGTCAAAACTATTCAAATGAGCTTTTCAATTCGAAAGTATTTCTAACGATTGAAAAGTCCCACTATCCACTTTGTGGCTTCATCATCAGGTCAAATCGATGGTATAAGATTATTGGTAAAGTTCAACTCAGTATAGCAATTAAAAAATACAATTTGTTAATTGTGGGTAGGCTGTCTGTAACAACTATATCTTTAAGACATGTAACACCTCAGTCTCTCCCGTGACCATGGATGCTGTAAAGCATTCGAAACGTCGGGAACCAAAAATCAAAATAAATCCCCGAAATAATCCGAAAAGATAGTTTTATTTAATAATGTCAAACATTCGCGTAAATCTAAGGAAGTATTATTAAAAAATACAATATATGTACTTCCAAGATTAGTTATGTACGTAGATGTAAAGTTGAAATCCGTGAGTGGTATATAGTTTCCAATCCAACTTGTAATTTTGAATTAAAAGATAAATACTTTTTAATACCTAATTATATTTTACTATACTATGTAATGAAATGAAATTTATTTATTAAGTATCAATTCTTATAAGTATACAGTAAACTATATAAACTGCGTTGCAGATATCAACGCCCGCCTCCGTACTATATTTAAACTACTTTATAAAAACTAAAAAAAAAAAACAATAAGATGATGATGTATGTGTGAGTGAGTGAGTGAGTGACGAGTGTGTGTGTGTTTGTGAATGCAAAATTCTTTAATAAACAATGGTCAAAAGTTCTTCCGTCTCGTCATACGTAATGGATTTAAGCCATGCTAAGCATACAGATTTGCAACGATAGGATGTGAGTGGATATATATTCAATAATTTATTGATTTTATTGTAAACAGCGTATAGCCTGATTTTTAATTCTACGGAATTCTGACATTTCAGAAGTGTTGTCAACTTTGAAACATTGGCACTAAAAACGGAAAGCATTTTAGCAAAATAAAAAATAAACCTTTCTTGAAGTTAAGGTTTCAATTAGAAAAACTAAGAGTTAATAAATTATTGATAACTCTAAAATGGTAATAATTTTTTTTATTATCATATTATTGAAGATACAATAATAATTAAGGAAATTATTTTTCTATTACAGGAATCCCTGTCCAATAATCCATAGGTTGCAAGCCTTTTTTAGTAAAACCCCTTTGATTGTAAAATATTTTGTTTTATTCATTTAACCATTAAAAATTTACATTATAGTTAGCGTGCATTGATTGCACAAAACAAAGACTATTTACAATGTCATACATATAGTTTACTTGATCTAATTCTGTTTCATATTTTTTGTTATTTTATATTAAAAAAATACAAAGCAGAAAAGGTTTATGATATCTGAATTGTCAAAGAATGATAGCTGTCTTATTTCCGTGGAATTAAAAATCAGACTATAGATATGGGTAATGACGTTTTGCAACCGCGGTTCTTGCAGAATTAATTTGACATATAACGTGGGATCTGCGTTTAGTACATAATATACTAGGGTTTTAAGGAAGCTCAGAGTGTTTAGTAATATAATATACTGTACTACTATTCCTTTAATATACTTAAATACCCAAGATATTAAAGTAACTTTTGGCTCACGTGATCAATATTTTTAATCGACAGTTACAAAACTTAAATTTTGTAAAACTGATATACTTGGGCAGATGGTTAAGACTTAAGCCAAATTAAAATAAACATATGATAAATTATAGAGTCGTAGACGGGCTTAAATAATAGAATTTATTTTATTTCCAAAAAATATCGTTTCAATAGGCCAAAGTACCAATAAAATACTGTAGCAATATCGCAACATTTTTTTTTCTTGAATTGGGTTAAGAAAAAACTTTTTAGTAATTTCTTTTCCATCTAACATAAAAGAGGTTAGTTCAATTTTTTTTATGAGGTCAACATTTTTCCCCTTTCACTAGATTGATACACAGACAAAATATAAACGGACCAAAGTTATACATACCTATATATATTTTTTAAATTTAGGTACTTTATTTTGGAATGTTTACGATATAACTAAAAATAGAAATTATGTCACAATTTTCAAGCAATATTTACCTGTAAAGGTTGTATGTAACATTACCGTGGTATAACCGTGTCTAAGTATACACTATACATACCTATATATTGTAGGTACATATTTGCCGGACCACTAACACAATATCCCAGACCCAGTGCCGTTGATTGTATAACGTTATTAAAAAAAATATGATAATTATATATACTTACACAGCATGACAGAACTGTTCTTCATCAACATCGTATATTCCTAACCTTGGCGGAATATTCTGCTTGAATAAATCATCATCGAGTTTCCGACGACCAACGCCGTATGTTTTAAGTTTATTTAATAAATCATTGTTTATTTCCATTCTGTAATTAAATATAGGCGCGAAAAAATGTTATATCAATAGAAGAAAGTACGTTTTGAAAATATGGAATACCTACGCTTTGTACCCTTTAATTATAGTAAGAGATCCCGATCTGTGTGATGGGCCCCTTATCTTTTTCCCGACAAAATATATTTTTTTAAACAATAAAACATATCGAGGACCTTGGAGCAACCCCATAGTTGTTGTGGTCTGCTTCGGCAGATCTGTCGTCGGGGCGTCGTAATTGAATGCGTAAGCGATCCTGCGACGCCCCATTAAGACGGGGGAAAGTTTTTGTTGGGTTATAGTGGGTAGTACTGGCTTTGCCGGGGAGTCCCACACCTCGTACGTAAATGCATTTCCCAAGGTTAAAAAAAAGGGGGTTGTAAATAAATATTTTCTCCAGGCTACTTTTAATTAAAAAAAATTAATTGATTTTTTTTAAAGTACAAGAACTCTTTTCCTGTGACAACTTAGTATCAATCGAAAGTAAAAGACTTGTAGAAAAATATCAACATACGAGTCGCGGCTTTTTTCGAATCCATATCACCTGACATCCAAGTATAAACAGGTAAATAGAAGTAGTTAATTGCTAGTATCGGATCGTTTTTTCCGGAACTAACCAAGTATCAAAATGTAGGTAATTTTATTACAAATTTAATGATATGGGGTTGTTGGACTAGAGGTTTTTTTTAATTTAAAATAGCCTGGAGCATTGAAGACAACCCCCTTGGCTTGGGTATTGTTTGTTAATGTTTCATTGTTTAAAAAATATATTTCGCCTGGAAAAAGAGTCAAGGGGCCGCCACGTAGATCGGGATCTTAGACTAATGTCTTTGATGAGACGTTTGGCTCAGTTTCTAGTGACCCTACTTGCTGTGCCAATGGTCGCGGGTTCGAGTCCCGCTGGAGGCATTATTTGTGTGATGAGCACGAATGTTTGTATTCCAGTCATGGGTGTTCATATTTATAATATGTATGTATTTAAAGTTAAATATGATATGTGTAGTGTATCAATTATCTAGTATCTATAACATAGACCTCGTAGCTTACCATGGAACTAGGTGGTGTTGTGTTAATGTCCCATCATATTTATTATTATTATTATTTGAGATATTGGCTATTGCGAGCAATCGAGCTAGCACGACGGTCAAGGAATCTTTTAACAAGTTAGTAACACTATAGTTATATGTAATGTAAATGTAAGTGATTTTGCCAGTTTGTTACTTTTTCACGCTATAATCGCTCAATAATTGTCGATGAAAGGACATAATATATGTACGTAGATTGATCCTGCGGACGGACGGCGGATATACGAGTACCATCTAATATCTATGCAGACAAAGACTAGTACCTACTAGTCTTTGTCCTCGTGCTAGCTCGATTTAAAAATAGAATAGATACCTATCTATTCTATTTTTGTAATAAGTTAAATTCATATGTTCGCTTTAAGTTATAGACATATATCATAAGGTAAAATTTGCAACTCAAGCCTAATGAAATATCTAAAATATTAAAAATTATAATCAGACTAAGAAATAATGTAGACAGTGTCATAGACCTAAACAATAATGTTTTAAAATAGTACACAAAGTCATATTATGTACACTATTTTAAAACATTATTGACATATACTGAGCGAAAAGTAAATAAATCTATACATATAATAAAATTGTAACTAAGCCGAATCTGTACATTTGATATTTTTTGGAAAATCTTATTGAAATAGACATTATTATCGATACAGAGGCCGAATCTACAGTTTTTAGAATTTTTGTCTGTCTGTCGGTTACCGCATCACGGAAAAACCACTGGACGGATTTTGATGAAATTTGGTATGATGATAGCTGGTTATCCAGGTCAACATATAGGATACTTTTTATTGCGGGAAAATATCTCATTTCTGAGAAATCTATACTAAACGTTAAAACGTAAGTACCTAGGGAAGAACCCGAGCGGAGCGAGGGTGAGTCGCTACCTAGTGTTAATAAATAAAAATAGGTATAATATTTTTTATTATATTAAAGAAAAAAATCTATTATGGATAGCATAGCTTAGCTCTCATTCAAGGGAAAGAGGTGTAATGCTTAAAAAATATAAAAAAATATGGTATTATTTTTATTATACATATTTTGTTCTCAAAAAATGTATATGAATTTAACTAATAGCTACATAATAATAATATATAAAATTTCCCTTATTCTTTAAAGCAAGTAAACGGTATGGATAAATCAAGAATAATAGCTTAAACAGCAAATGACGCTACTATTTTTGACTTTGATATTTATTTTGGCGGACTTACTTTATATACCTAATTCGTTAGTTTGAGTAAAAATCATAGTTATTTTTAAGCAGAAAATGTTGGTGACTAATTTTTAATTTTTAATTTGACGACATTTTTATACATTTTTTATGTTCATTACCATTAAAGAATAACCTTGCAATGCCACTTTTCGTCATTTATCATTCCAATATCATTTACTGTACGATTGTCTGTTAAGTTTTACGTGAAATACACAGTTTAGACGTAGATAGATATATACTAGTAATACATTAACTTCAAATTTTAGCTATGAAAAGGCACACTGACACGCACTGTGTGTCTACACACCATATTAGTAAGACTAGCGACTCACCCTCGTACGTTTAACGGTTATTACGGAATAGACAAGATATATTATATGATATATTATATAGACTATAGACTTCCTCAATAAACGAGCATATAATCAAGCTCAATATATAATGCAAAAAGAAATTTTCAAATCGTGTTAGCAGTTCTTGAGATTACCGCGTTGCAACAAATAAACAAACTCTGCCTCTTCATAAAATAAGTACCTATAGATAATCACAGATTATCCTTATGCAAATAAATCAAATTATATATTATAGTTTCACATCAGTTTTTAAACAGATTGAAGTTTCACCAAATACCTATAAGAAATAGCGTTGCCTTCGAAGCCATTATCTTATTCACGCCAAGGCCACGCGGATACACGGTAGTGATGGTCACTTATTATTTATCTTTATTGTGTCTATTTAGATTTATTTTATCATTTTATTATTTATGTAGTGAATATTAAAGATAACTAATTTTAAACGCGAATGAATGAGATATGTATACTAATTTTAAATGCGAACGTGCTCTTGTAGGTGACGAGCGGAATATATAACGAGCTTGTAATATTAATAATATAATTTTATCCATTTAAATTTCAAAGAAATCATCATGAAATCTTTTCTCAAATGACAAAATTATCACGTAAGTTGGATGTAAGTGAATGTAGGAACATAGTATCAACCCCGATGTGTGTGCTCATAAGAGCATGGCAATCCAGCCGGGCGTGAGTGCGGTGAAGCTAAGAGACACACTGGGGGAAGGCCCACTTCGATAGGCGATGTACCATAAGGGTTGCTTCAGGTACTTCTCTGTTAACAGAGTGAACCGAGGTAGCAACCTCTTGGTTGTGTGGTATGCTTTGGCAGACCTGCCATCGGGACGTCGTGGTTGAGTGCGTAAGCGAACCTGCAACGCCTCATTAAGGCGGGGTAAGGTTCTGTTGGGTTTTAGTGGGTAGTACTGGCTTCTCTAGTCGGTGAGTGTCACATAACTACCTGTATGTGTCAACATTAAGAAAAAAATGAAGATGACTATATGTTTTATACTTGCAGAGTCCTGCTTTATGTAATTTTACTGGATACTAATATATTAACTATATTAGATTTGCAAGGAATAGTATATTCGGTCATACGCCGAATACCGAATATTCGGTGGGCTTTCTGGCCGAATATTAGGCAAAAGTATTCGGTTAGCGCGTGGCGGGAAAATTTCTATCTACGTGTTTGTTTCTTGTTTGGCGATAGGAAGTAGTATACATATATTAAGAGCGTCTTTTCTCTGAATCTGGGATTGTCTAGGAGTAAACTACTGCCTAAAAATGCAGAAAAATTAGTTTTTCTGCATCAGAATATTCCACATCTAAATTTTAATTATCATAATGCAAGTGCATAGATATATTTTTTTATTTGATCGTTTTTTTGTTAATTTTTGTAATAAAGAAGGTGATTATGTACCTATGACTAATGATTATAAGAAAAATATATTATTATAAAATAAACCAATATTTTTATTTTCCCAATAGAGAATATGCATTATTTTTTTTTATATAATAGCTTACATCGTTATATAATGATAAAAAACCAATATATCCTTAAAAAAAGCAAAAAGTACTTTTAACTTTTTGAGTCTTAAAAATTACAATGAATATTAAGTAAAACGATTGTCTAAGATAAAATATAAACAGGTATAAAAAACGACATTATTGTTCTAATTTTATTATGTTCCATACATACACATAGGTAGTGACTACCTACTTACCTACCTACTAGGTACAACACTAAACCTTTTTTTACATTATATTTCATCATCATCCTTCATCTAATATATTGTAATAGGTCAAAGTTATTGGTACAATATTTTTTATTTGTTATACAGGAGTGCTACTTCAACATATTTTTAGAATATTTAACCGACTTTTAAAATTATAAGGAGGAAGGAAGTGCTGAATTCAGGTGTATATATTTTTTAAAATTAAAGCAACCTTTAATTAATCGCTCAACGACCGCAGATACGCCGGCGTTACAGTAAACAATAGATTTCTTTCTTTGTATAAACACAAATCCCGCGGAACTAGTGGAGAAATTTTGGTGGAATTTTTATTTGCAAATTGCACGTATTATAGTCTTAAGACATAGCTTGAGCTCCTTCTTCTACGTGCTTTGAAATCACACGGATAGAGACATTACGTCAGGTAGTTAGAATAGGTAGGTACTTTATCTATATGTTATAGGCAAACTCCGAAGCTCCGGCGCTCCTAGGTTGGACTGGTCAATCCTCAGGTCAGACTGAATGACTTAGTCAAAGCCCAAACAAATGTAAATTTTCGGCCTTTGACTAAACAATTTTCGTCAAACCTGGGAGAGACTAATTTGGTCAGGCAAACGTCAAAACACAATTTTATTAAATCGGGGTTTGACGAGTCAAACTCCGATATAGGTATGAAGTGTCTTATCTTAGTATATTTGGAAGCATTTTATCATTTAAGCAGCTTTCAAGTCTTAAGAACCGCTTAACTCTGCCAGTTCTGACACCTGATTGGTCAGCTTACGTTATTTTCACTTTTATATTTGAGATGCTTTGAGAGAATGCCGTGTGGCATTAGGCCCGCCTTTTGTACGATGTGCAATAAAGTATAAAATAAATAAATAAATGCTTTGGAATATACGGAGGTTAGTTTGTAAGATTAGGTATAAAAAAATAACATTTTTAAAATTTTGATGTTTATTGTTTTAATAATTTCTTAAGTAATTAACGACGAGTCCCTTTTTAGGCTGACTCTTTTTCTTGTGACACGTTTCACATAAATTCAAGTAATAGTTTACGCACTCTTTTGTGACATTTGCATACTTTTTATTTAAATCTTTCAATGTGAGATCTCTACCACCATGACCACATTCCTGATGAGCACATTCAATCACATCGAATAACTCGTCATCCGTAACGTAGTATTGTATATTTTTTGTATCTGACAATGGCTTAATCAATTTTTTTTCGTCCCTAAAACAAACAACGTCGTAGCGTTTGAGACGGCGATACTGCAAAGACGTTTTCTTTTTAGCTACTTTAGCGGATTCTACCTCACTGATAATCTGCTCATACAACTGTTTGTTTTTTATGTGAAATGAACACTTATTTTTATTCAAATTAGAAATTTTCTCTTTAAAGTTTACTTTTAAAGCTTCTTTATCCACGTTTTTAGTAACAACAACACCGTTTGATTCACTCATCTTCAATTTTACACAATTACACGCCCGCACGCTCAATGAACAAACATGAAATGACAAAACAATCGGTCGGAACACCGCGAGAGACATTATGAACCTGTTTAAACATATTCAGATCAACGTTTGACCGAGTTTTGCAGTCGCTTCTAGGATTGACTAGGCCAAAACCGAAACAGAATAATTTACTTTCGACGTTTGACTGAAAAGTTAGGAGCTCCTGGGTTTGACTAAAAATACTTCAGGCAAAGGGCGAAATTGAAATGTATTTTGGGGATTGCCTGATGGCTTTGGCCAAACCTAGGATAAACCAGTCCTTCCGCGAAGAGACTGTGTATCGGACTTTGACTATAACATATACATATAATAAAATTCTGAGTCTCTGTACATTATATATTTTTTGAAAAATCTTATTGAAATAGGCATTATTATCGATAGAGGCCAAATTTATAGTTTTTAGAATTATTGTCTGTGTGTCTGTGACTGCATCACGGAAAAACCACTGGAGGGATTTTGAAATTTAGTATGGTCATAGCTGATGGTGATATCCGGGTCAACATATAGGTAGGATACTTTTTGCTGCGGGAAAACGTCTACAAACCCGAGTGCAGCCAGGGCGAGTCGCTAGTATTATATAACAATGAGTAGCGAAGTAACTATACCTAAGTGCTATATTTTACTTTACGTTATGTAATCATAATGTGGACCGCACGGTTTGCACTTCAAGCATTCATGAATTGAAAACGTAATTACGTATTAACTATCAAGTCTCTTGTAGGTATTATTACGTTACCGGTTACAACTAAATATAAAATTACGTTATCTCATACTTACATGCTATTGGTGGAGTGGTGAAGTTGTCAGTAACTTCTTTTTATGTATATTTTTTGTAATATTCCTTAAAAGTAATAAAAATGCCTTAAGATAATAGCTTGACTTAAAATTAATTCGTCTGGTGCTAAGTTTCGAGAAATATAAATTTGAGAGACAATTTATAAACTTTTAGAAGATAGTTGCGGTGAAGTGTTCAAAGTTCGCAAGTCGGAAATTGTGGAGTTTTTGTTATACATAGGTATCTATTAAATAAATAAAAAAAAGTATGAACGAAATACGGCAAAGAAAGGTAAGTAATACAGTAATATAACATTTACTCACGTGTTTGTTTTTGATCTAACCTTTACCTACTTCAAATGACATTTATTGGTAGCAAATACCAGCAAAATAATAGAAGTATTATGTATGAAATTATGTATAAAATTATTACAAAATTCCTTTTGTAACCTATATTATATTTGCTTACCTTTAAAGTTGAATAATTTGAATAAATATGAATATACTGACATGATGATACATGAATATACTTGTGATATATACCTAACTTTTATATTCACACTATTTATAAAACAAATTAAATTTACTACAGTTGAATTAATTTTTAACGTGTTAAAATATATAAAATTATTATAAATTTTAGTCTTGTATTATTTTAAATTGTACAGCTTTAAATGTACACAAATGCATTGTCACCATTTATACATTTATGCTTTAGTATAAATTTATACATCTCAAGACAGAAGTCCCGCAAACGCGGCGCTAAAGTCAAATGTCAATGGTCATTCGACGATATGTTGCTAGCCTCTGGTTTTACACTCCCCCTAAAATTTCAATTTAACATTTTAGATTTAATTTTTGTTTTTCTAAATTAAGTTGATAAAATAATACATTGTACTTATATCTCGCACATTTTGCTTGCTCAAGACTCGAGTCTCAGGTAATAATCAACAAAGAACGAATAACTCGCTTATTATTTGTAATACATATTAGTACTTCATATTCTTTATTACACTAAACAAGTAATAAAAAAATACATAGACAATGATGTGGACATTGGTGGACTTATCTCTATAAGAGATCTCTTCCAGTCAACCAATATATGTGGGAAATAGTGTTAAGTAGCGGGACAGAAAGAGAAAGTGCAAAGAAACGATAAGAAAATATATAACGATAAGCATAATTCATACATATTTAATATATAAGCATAAATACATGAATGCAAATATGAATTATAAACACTATATTATGAGTATTTGAGAGAATAAAAAATACCAGAACATACATATTGAATGCATAAACATACTTATATTATTACAAAACAGAAATATATAAACTAGTAGAGTAAATATAATAAATAATCATGTTAAATTCTAATTGTATAATTATGGTCATCGATTAAATTTATTCCAGATATATTATAATCACATCTTTTTGCATCCGAATATGGTAACAGCACTTGACAATGACAACATGGCTAACCTGTCATAATTAGTTCCGCTTTTTGCCGTGGGACTTCTTTCGTGAGACGGACTTTAATAGAAATCTGACGTTGAATGTCAAATAGTGACGTATCTATTTTACTCGATATAAAACACGAGCATTTCGATCATCGATGATTAGAGTAAAAGTTTAACGTTATATTGTAATTAAACGATTAACATAATATAAACAAAAAAGATTACCTATATTTAAATATAATATATAATACTTTAAAATGAATAAGTATAATATTAATTTATTTAAAATTATTATACTAGAAAGTAAATTAATATATAAAAATATTAATTAATAAAATTAATCATAAGGCTAATCTACACTAATATTATAAAGAGGCAGAGTTTGTTTGTTTGGTTGCACGCGCTAATCTCAGGAACTATTAATTCGATTTGCAAAAATCTATTTGCTTTAGATTGCTAGTTCATTGAGGAATACTATAGGATATATTATCCCGGAAAAACTTCCGGTTACCGTGGGATAGGTTTGTTCTGGTTAAGGGATGAACCCGAAGCGAAGCGAGGGTGAGTCGCTAGTAATTAGGAATAAAGAATACAGAATATTTAAAAGTTAATTATTTAGTAAGGCTGTATTAGATTACGGTAGATAACAAAATATTTTAATATTATAGTACTAGATGAATATATGTATATTACATCGTAATTTTGTAATAAATTTTATTCTATAGGATTAGTTTTTGTAGCTAATAGCTGTATACGACGCATTTTTATAATTTAAAGATTTTTATAATTAAAGAAGTGGATTAGGAAAATTTAATCACCATTCTGGCGACTGCTTCACAATTATAGGTATTTCAGTTTGTTTTATATAGGCAGATAGGTACTACTAATGATAGTAATCAATTGCTAAATGTTACATGTGCGCATTGAACTTCAAGACCTGTTATCAGAATAGTATGCAAATGATTAGATTACATGCTACGTACTTTCAATGTAAAATTTTATTGTTGTTCATAGCTATAAATAGTAGACACTGATGAATGACGATAGTTTTTCAACTTGATTCCTGGTTATACCTTATCGAGTAAAGATTAACGAATAAAAATTTATTGCAAAGTACATCACTATGTCATCAATAGTTTTTTAGTGGTTATTCTGTCACGATTGTTACATTTGTTTTTCAAGTTATTCTTAATTAAAAATATTAACTATTAAAATGCACAAATTTTATTTATAATATTCGTTAAGGTTGTGATGTACATTTTAACCCGATATGGGAAAATTCGGTACCTACAGGTATTTAGAGGTGTGTAAAAAAATGTTTGTATGCAAAACTTTCGTCTTGTAATATATTTCATTTTATTTTACTTTACTAAAATTTAAAGAAAATGTAAATAATAGTTCAACATTAAATAAAAAGATAATAAATAATGCATTTAATTGGACCTATATCAACATATAAAATAGAAAGGAAATAATTATTTTTGTTTAAAAATGCAATATACTTACTAGTTAGTGCTTATGTTAAAACAAGATAAAATATTTACAATTAAATTTACCTTAAAGTAAGTATGGTTACAATAAGAAATATATTAAAATTAAATTATTCTTTGAATAAAACATGTATTAAGCAGTTTTTTTGAAGTACCTTCCAATGTTAAATTTGAATGTAATTGTGAGTTGTATAGCATGCTTTTCTTTAAAAATCTATCCTTTCATGTAATCATTTTAATGATAATATATTTTTTCAGTTAAAAGATGATACCTCAACGTCACATATCAGCTTAAGGAGTAGAACCTTGAAGCAACCTAGAAGATTGAAGAAGATATTTATTTTACTTCTCATATTAGCATTATGTGCCACATATTTCTTGGGTAAGAATAAATTTAAGTTTAAATTTAACAAAGATATAATGAGAACCCTTTATTTTCAAGAAGGTTTCTTAAAAAAACCTTTTCAACTCTAATTACATGATTACTAAATATTATTTTTTAAGTACAAATCCATAATAAAAAACTTTAAAATACTATATATATATTACCAATTTTTTTCAATCAGGTTGAAAAAGCTTTTAGTCTGAAATTATTCCAACACTAGTGACTCATTTTTGCTACGCTTCAGGTTCATTTAGTGAAAGACATAAACAAAACTATCCCACGGGAACCATACATTTTTCAGGGATAAAAAGTAGCCTATGTGTTATTTTAGACTATAATCTATCTCTGTGCCAAGTTACATTCAGATCTATTCAGCCGTTCTGGTGTGAAAGAGTGACGAACTTCTATCAATCCATCCTCACAAACTTTCACATTTATAATATTAGTATAGATTATTATGAAAGATCAGGTGTAAATAAGTACATTGTAATACAACAACAACTTATAAGAAAAATGTAGCAGTGAATAAAGAGGCAAAATAAACAAATTTTTTATTTGTTAAGCATTCCATATCATGTGATAATGACTGATGGATAACAAAGTACTTATCATTTTGACCACCTTAGAAATTCTTTTCCAATAATAAATGTTTATTGTCGTCTAAATAATGGCATATTGTTTTATTACTGAAAGTATGTAATTGGTAAATATAGAGTATGTCAATGCACATTGTACACATAGTTCAGTAGACCAACTAAATAATGAAATTTATGTGCTACTAGCGACTCACCCTCATTTTGATCGGGTTCAACCCTAGTCAAAAACAAATCTATCCCACAAGAACTATATTGGATAAAAATTAACCTATATGCTATTCCAGACTATAATTTCTGTGCCAAATTTCATTCAGATCCTTTCAACTGTTCTGGTGTGATTGAATAACATCCATCCATCTATCCAAACTTTTGCATTTATAATACATGATGATGTTCTCCTGACCGATTTCGGCCACGGCGGCCAATCTCATTGAGACTAGCCAACTGCACAGGAGATATTATAGTGCACAAGTGTACGCGCAGACACAGGTGCACTCTCTATTCCTGTCACTCTCATATTTCGGTGGAACGACTACTCGACACGACCAGTGAGACCAGGCGCAGGACCGACGGCTTTACGTGCTCTCCGAGGCACGGGGGTGAAACGGGATGCCCTGCGAACCGAGGGCATCCTGATTTAGGCGAGGCTGGCCCGCGTGGTACGGGCCGTCCGCAGGGGTGTTGCAGTGAGTGCGAAAGCGATCCTGCACGCCCCATTGCACTGCGGCGAAGGGTTCCGCTGTGGGTTTTAGTGAGTAGGAGTCTCACAGTACCTTGCCCATGACGGTGGCAGGGTCCCCATGATGGGTTTCCCCAGCGAAAACAAAGAAAAAAAAAGGACTAAGTTTAGTCGACCCCAATTCGAGACTTAGGTTAACAAAGATTCGACTTCAGACACAAGTTTGTTCCGGCTCTCGTCGACGTATTCCCGAGAAATATTAGCGCGGCCAGTGTACAGGGCATCCACAGTGCTATCATCTGCATAGCAATGAATGTTGCTGATTTGCAACATGTCATTGATATGCAGAAGGAACAGAGTAGGAGACAGTACGCAGCCTTGTGGAACACTAGCATTGACATATTTAGGATCAGAGCAAGCACCGTCGATAACGACCTTGATGCTCCGATCTGCCAAAAAGCTGGTGATCCAGTTGCAAAATTTCTCAGGAAGCCCATAGGAAGGTAGCTTCGAAAGAAGCGCTTTGTGCCATACCCGATCAAAGGCCTTCGCTATGTCCAGACTGGCTGCAAGCGCCTCCCCCTTGGTCTCAACTGCTTCTGCCCATCTATGTGTCAGGTAAACTAGAAGATCACCGGCTGAGCGACCTTGATGGAAGCCGTACTGGCGGTCGCTGATCAGCCGGTGCTCTTCTAGGTACCGCAGGAGCTGGCAGTTAATAATAAACTCCATTATCTTAGAGAACAAGGAGGTAATGGCTATAGGCCCGTAATTGGACGGATCCGAGCGGTTGCCCTTTTTTGGGATCGGGTGTACTAAAGCGGCCTTCCAGGATTTCGGGACTACGCCTAAAGAATACCGGGAAAGACGCGTTAAGACCGGTGCCAACTTCGGAGCACATGTCTTCAACACGATCGGAGGGATGCCATCGGGCCCACTCGACTTATGAATGCCCAAAGAAAGAAGTGCTTTGCGAACTGCACTTTGCTGGAACTGAACTTCCGACTTCGTAGTATCATACCGCGGGATTGTCGGTGGTGAGTTTCCTTGGTCATTCAGAGTCGAATTGGACGCTAAGAGAGTGCTCAGTAGTTCGGCTTTCTCCTTCGTGGCATGAGCCAGCGAGTCAATCTCCGTGTGCAGAGGTGGATCCATACCCTGAAGTACCACATCGGTGACAGAGTCAGCAACAACGTCTGGATCATCTGGCGAGAAACCTGGTAAACTACCACAAAATTGTAAATTAGTATTTACTTTGTTTATGATAAATAAATGAATACGTGGGACATTAACACGCCCATCATTACCATCTATTTCTATGGTAAGCTACGAAGCTTGTGTAATGGATATCAGATAGTTGATACACTACACATATATAACTTCAAATACATACATGTTATAAATATAAACACCCATGACTTGAGTACAAACAATCGTGCGCATCACACAAATGAATGCCCACAGCGGCGGAATTCGAACCCGAGACCGCTGACACAGCAAGTAAGGCCACTACAAACTGAGCCAAACGTGTCGTCATGATATATGACAACGTGTCGTTTATGACATAACTAGTTCAGATTAATTTTAACAGGTTTAAAATTGTCTTCAAATGTAATGCTATTGGATGTTACCATGATTTATGTGTTGCATTGAACACATTATTCTTTCTTCAATCATAATCCTACTAATATTATATATCGCGAAAGTTTGTGAGGATGTATGGATATCTGGATGTATAGAAGTATTGATGTTAGTTACTCTTTCGAGCAAAAACTACTAATTAGATTTTAACGAAACTTTACAATAATATAGTTCCTACATCAGAATAACAAATAGGCTACTTTTTATCCTGAAAAAATGTACGGTTCCCGTGGGATAGATTTGTTTTTGCTCGTCTGCTAATGTTTTATGATATGACAAAGAATTTAAAATATTTTTATTATTGTTTTTTTTTGTCATTAAGTATTTTTTTCTTCATAAAGTATAGTGTATCACATACATGTCATATTGGTCATATGGGTTGATAATAAATAAGAAATATTTAAAAAGGACTCATTTATTATCACATAATGATACATTTTTGATGAAGATTCAAGCTATGTGATCGAAATTGAAAAAGTCATATTTCCTCACCACTCACAGTAGGTACATTCTAAGCAAGTAAAATACAGTAAATTTTACACTTTAGACCAGGACTCCAAAACCCGTTTAATTTTTAAACCGGTTTTGGTCATTGATTCGAACCGAAAGATTTCGATTTCGGATATGTTCTTTAACCGGTTTCAACCTGGTAAACGGTTTTTAACGAAGTTACGTTCTATGGTCTAAAAATAAACTGGTTGAAATGAGTTTTTGCGCGATTATAAATTTGTCGAACCTTTGCTAATGATGAATTGCTTAGTTGAAGGATATAATTACGTTTCTGGAATCAACCTGTTTATTTCGGTATCAAAACTTAAGCTTAATGTTTCTCAAGTATAATCATTATTTATTTTGGTTTATTAAACATTCGTTTTTATTAACCGATGAACGAACGATGAATTACCGAAACTCACCGCTTTTTTTCAGGCACCTTTTATCCTCTTTTATACAAATCATCCATACTTTCTCACCCCACTCTCACATTGCCCCACAACACAATTTTTGTTATATGCTCTTTTTCCGACCCAATTTTCTTTCAGCCTATCCCTTTATCCAACACTCCTATCTATATAAATACTTATAATTTAGACAATGTCAAACATAAAGTGCCAGCTCTATACCTACATAAAAGCTGTTAAAATGATTGAGTGAGAACTGTTTTATTTTATGTATTTTATAGCGTTCGTCTTAGGCCGAGATTACGCAAATGAAATACACCTATTCAGTGTAATAATATTTACATATTTTTTTCTATAAATAGTTTCATTATTTATCATTTATTCGGGTTCATCCTTAGTTACGTTTTGTCGTTTAGTATAGATTTCTCACAGTAAAAAGTAGTAAAAAGTATCCTATCCGTTGACCTGGATAACCAAGATAACCTATGTCAGATTATTAGGCATATATGCCTTGGCTTAGAACTTAAAATAAATATATACCTACATATAATAAAAATCTGTTTTCGAATCTGTACATTAAATATTTTTTGGGCAATAGTCATTAGTATCGATACAATGGCTAAATCTATAGTTTTAGAATTTTTGTCTGTCTGTCTGTATATTATCTGTTACCGCATCACAGAAAAACCACTGGAGGGATTTTGATGAAATTTGTTTTGGTGATAGCTGGTTATCCGGGTCAACAAATAGGATACTTTTTACCGCGGGAAAATATCACATTTCTGAGAAAAAATACAATAACTGCCTTGTAAGAGTATACTAATAGTATGTAAAACCTAAGAATTTGGTTTTTGGTCATCTGAACGCGGGCGGAGCAGCGGGCAATGCTAGTTATATTTACTCAACTAGCATTGCCTACGTCTCATCGCGACTCATCCTCGCTTCCCCTAGCGTGCTTCCCAATAAAAACTTTCATCCCCATTTTCACCCCCTTAAGGGATTATTTCCGGGATAAAAGTATCCTATGTCCTTCCCAGGGTCTCAAACTATATTCTTAGCAAATTTCATATATTCATCCAGATCCAGAGATTACCCCTACAACCTCACAAACTTACCTCTTTATAATATTAAGTATAGATAATAAAAGATCTACTAAAGCTGTCCAATCGTTAACGGGGACAATTAAAAAGCTACTAACAACAAACACGTACCTACTGTAAAACAGTGGGTACACAATTGACAATATATTATGTACGTGTAATAGCTGAAATAGTCTGGGATGTAATAAAATAAATTAGTTTTACTTATAATTAGATACAATACTGATAATTGCGTCAAATATTATAATTTGAATAAGTAATTGTGAATTGGTCAGCGTTGTTTGCAATAGTATTAAAATATATGAAAGAGACACCAATAGCTGTACTGTGCACTTGTGAAATTTTAGCAATAAAACCTATTCGGCGTTCAAAATTTCTTAATAATAAGCTGAGTGAGAGCAAAGATACCTACGCCTTGGCTCACTAATTTTGGGCGTTTTTATGTAAAGTGGGAGCTATAATAGACACAGACGAATAAACTTTTTAATATAATACTATTTAATGCAGGGGATTGTTGTATTACTCGTATAGATAGCGTATACAGGTCAGTTACCTCACCTGTTATGTGCTCTATCTCTTTCTGATACTTTATATGAAATCATCTACATATCGCACATCACATTCTATACCTGACTTTATAATAACATTGTAGACAAGAACTGTGTCAGACGTCAGTCTTAGTGTTGTTCTTTCAAATAGTGTGACAAATTGTGTGAAATGACAAATAGTACAATCGTGCGCACATTACCATTTTTGATAACAGGTATTTATTATGCTATGTATAATCTACTTTGTTTCAGAAAAAAATAAAATAAGCAGTCTTGAGAACTGCCGATAGAAGTGAAACCTTAAAACTATAAAACACACTTAGTAAATTAATATTTATGAATTAAAACTGTTTACATTTATCTAGTTTTGACATCTATCGGCACACTTGAGTTAGCGTTAACATGTCACGTGACCATGTCGATGACGACTTACATGAATTTACTCCCCATCCAAACCTGCTTATAGAAGTTTTTTTTTCTTAATCTTGATATACATGTTACGTATTATAAAATTAATACGATTTCTTATATATTTTTGTGAATGTGGCAATTTGAAACGTTACAGCTGTTTTGAAATGTTTCAATTTTAATTATAAGTAGGTAAAGATTTGTTTGAAAACGTCATTTTAAGCTGTATTACGTGGGAATATAATAGGGTCGGAGATACATACAAGTCAAACACATAACTCGCTTTTTGAGCTTATATAATAAGCGCCTTGGAGTATATTATAAATATCTTTAAATTATTGAATTTTCTAAATTATGATGTCTTTAGTACAATTGTATCATATAATATGCAAGTTTGTGAACGAACAAATCTGTTGAATGAAGTGGATTTGAGTTAAATTATAGAATAATAAATATTTTTTTAATGACGTACGTACAATGTACATTCATACCACGTGAGGTCAAATAATTTGTATAACTATGACTAATTTTTATTCTTATAATAACCATCTGGCAGAATAATAATTATATTATTCAATTTTATTTAAATTTACCTGTATAATTGGTTTCGGAACTTCGAACTTGTGTTTTTGCGTTCAATCAGTCTATACTTGTTCGTAATACGTATTAAATTATTTAAATAGCTCCACTTTATAGACTTTTTTTATATTTTCCGTACCAAATAAAACAAGAACCAATACTTCTTCAAACAGTTGCAAAACAGTGCAAAAATATGTAAAGCAAAAACATCACAAGCGAATATTATTCAATTTCCTGGTTTCCATCTGAAATGTATAAATTGACAGATTTATCATCTACTGTATATTTATTTTTTGGGTACTAATTTCGTTATGTTTGTTTCTTATATAACTTTTACAATTGTTTCTTTTTTACTGCAACTTTTAATTAAAATTATTATTGTACATATTCTATGACAGATAATTATTACAAATTTGCGATTTACTAGGTACGTTTTAAATTTTTTTAACGGAGTCCTAATTTTTTCCGTCAAAATAGATCCCGAAAGTAAAGGTTTTCGGGGATTACCTGGAGCAAATAGACAGATAGACAGAAAGACAGACGGACGGACAGACAGACAGACAGACAGACAGACAGACAGACAAAAAAGTAATAGCAGTGTTTGTCTTATACGTAATTTAGGACTTTAGTAAAAAGCTGTTATTTTGATATTATAAACAGACACTTCAATTTTATTTATATATCTGTATGGATAGGAACATCAATATTTTAATTATTAATATAACCACGCTATATGTTCTCGTATCTATTATTATAATATGCGATTATTTTTATCCGATTGGTTATCTGAAAAAAAAACACTCGAGCAAAGACGGGATATGTCTCTAGTTTATTATACCATATTTAATATTATTAATACATGTAATAAAATTGTAACTAAGCCGAATCTGTACATTAGATATTTTTTGGAAGATCTTATTGAAATAAACATTATCATCGATACAGAGGCCGAATCTATAGTTTTTATATTTTTTGGCTGTCTGTCTCTGTCTGTTACCGCATCACAGAAAAACCACTGGAGGTATTTTGATGCAATTTGGTGTGATAATAGCTGGTTATCCGGGTCATCATATAGGATACTTTTTACCGCGGGAAAATATCTCATGTTTGAGAAAAAATACAAAAACTGCAATGTAAGGGTATACTAATATGTAAAACCTAAGAATTTAGTTTTTGGTCATCTGAACGCGGGCGGAGCCGCGGGCAATGCTAGTTGTGCGTATAAATTTATACTTTTGTATGCAGTTATTATTATTATCTGTTCATAAGACATAAGTTCATAATATAATTATTAGATAAAAAGTGATAACACATCTCGTCAGTCGTCTGTGAAATATACTAAGTGCTAATCAACATTAAATTGAAATCATAGTATTTAAGTAACTTCCCTATGTGTACTTCTATTCTATACAGGATTATATAAATGAAGTTATTCGTGATTATTATAGGGCTGTTCGCGGGGCAGACACAGTGGTTCGATGGTCTGGCAAAGAGCTTGGGGTACGAGAGTGTGTACCACCATGCAGTGATCATTGACGCAGGCTCCTCCGGGACTAGGGTCCTGGCGTATAAATTTAGAGTGCCGTTTACAGGTATTTATATAATTTCTTTTTGAAGTTAAACTTGTTTTGGCACGTTTGGATAAAATTATGAGAGTAAAATTTTTAAGATGCGCGCGCAGTTTTTTTTTTCATTTAACACTTTCTTAAATTTACGTGAATATTTAACATTTTAAATGAAACCATCTTTTCGGATTCTTTCGCGGATTTATTTTGATTTTTCGTTCCCAACGTTTCGAATGCTTTACAGCATTACAGCAATCATGGTCATGGAAGATTTCTACCGTCTCTTCCAAAAATCAAAATAAATCCGCGAAAAAAACCGAAGACATTTTTTATTTTTTTTCATTTGTTTATTTGCATAATTATAACTAGTGCATATGACATTTTTTTTATTTATTTTTATGTTCTGTAATACCTTGTGCTTAGGTACAATTTATATTTAACAACAAAGAGTTTTTGTAAATTAATGAATTAAAAAAAAACAACAATTTTGAGGGTGGTACAAATTTAAAGTCGATGTACCTCTTTAGTTCAAATGCAATTTATTTGAATCGTATGAATATTGATATATTCCTGTAAAGTCATTGTTGTCGTAGAATGGATTGACACCATTGACTACTGTTGCATTTGCAAAGAAGGATTTATTTGAGGAAGAGTAAATTAATGTGTCTACATTTTTATGTCATACAAATAATTATCAATATGTACATGTATTCAGCCCTTTTTAAACTTTCTAATACTGGACATAGGCCCCACTTCAATATGAAGATGATCAGGCAATAGTCCACCAAGGTGGCCAAGCGGATTGGCGGACTTCACATGTCTTTCGAACATTTCACAAGGTTCTCTCAGATATACAGGTTTCCTAAACTTGGATTGAGAAGGAAATTTTCAAAAGTTGGCCAGCGTGGTGGAATTTAGCGTGATCCCCTCGCAATCTTCAATGTGAAGAAGGTCCGAGCCCAGCAGTGGGATGTTAAAAAAGGTTGAATGGGCCTAAGAATGCATTATTGATTTTCATTTTCAGTATTCAGTCAAGTAAGTTTGGATTTAGAAAATGAATATTTTGAAGAATCTAAACCTGGGTTATCTTCATACGTGGATGATCCAGAAAAAGTAAGTAAAATTAACAGCTTAAATATAATAGTAAGCTCAATTTTCTTTTTATTTGCACTTTTTATTTATAGCAGCAGAATAGTATTATATATATGCATAAAGCAGAATAGTTTATTTTTCTTTCTGGGTTCGTCCCTAGTAACGTTTTAACGTTTAGTAGTTTAATATAGATATCTCAGAGACGAGATATTTTCCCGCAGTAAAAAGTATTCTATATGTTGACCCAGATAACCAGCTATCATCATACCGAATTTCATCAAAATCTGTCAATTGGTTTCCTCATGATGCGTTCCTAAACAGATATACAGACAGACAGATAAAAATTCTAAAAAACTATAGGTTCGGTCTCTGTATCGATAATAATGACTATTTCAATAAAAATTTCCAAAAAAAACTTTATGTATAGATTCGACTCAGAATTATTATATGTATAGATAGTTTTCAAAAAGGTAAATACAATACATATATTCGGGTTTTAAAAAATACTCTGATTACAATGCGCTTTTAAATCAAACTTCTGTATTATTAATTATAAAATAAGAAATATTGATAAAAAAATCAGCCTATACATGATGAGTTTGTACTGTGTATAAATAGATGGCGCTGTTTACATTTTATGAGTTAATATCACTTTTTTCTTAATGTTGTTGCTTATAATTTGCATTCATTCTTTCAGGGAGCAGATACAATAGTACAATTAGTGAAAAGAGCAGAACAAAAGTTGCCCATGGAGAAGAAACGTGAGACGCCCCTTATAGTGAGAGCGACGGCTGGTCTTCGATTGCTTCCTAAGGACAAAGCGCTGCAATTAGTAGATGAAGTAGATAAGGCCGTAAATAAGTAAGTAAAACTAGTGAAAATGAAACTAGCGATCCGCCCTGGATTCACATAGCTGTAAAACAGGATTGTTTACACGTTTATGTACTGGCTTCGTACGGGTGCGTCCTTAAGCTTGAATGATTTGGAAACGCATAAAAGACCCAAAAAATAAATGTTTTTGCGCCAGGAACCTTCGCAGGTGTATTCGGAATAACCCACCAGAGTTTCATCATAATCATATGATTTTGGGAATGCATAGAAGACAAACATACGAAAATTCATTATTATGTATATAGATATATTGATTGACATTTAACCGGGGTTTTAACACTATAGAATATTGTGGATGATAAGCATGCAAAATTTTTGAGTTTTTTTGTTTGAAATTAATGAATTTATATTTGTTGAAAAAGATGGAATGGCCTTAAAATTACATATAAGTATTCCAGCTTTAGTTTTTAAGAAATGTATAGGGAACTACCCTTAACTATAAAATAGTACCTATTGTGAAATAGTACCCATTGTGCTGGCATCTCTGTAGTCATGAACTAGTAGTTCAACAAAACTCAGATTCATTTGGTGTTTTCTAATGTTTTAAATAAAACTATCTTTTCAGATGTTTTTGCAGATTTATTTTGATTTTCGGTTTCCGACATTTCGAATGCTTTACAGCAATCGTGGTCGCTATTAGATACATCACATCACAGAAAGCTTTATTTAAACTGTCAAATATTCGCATAAATCTAAGATAGTATTGTTTTGTACTATTTAAATGATATTTATTAATTTATGTTTAATAATTTTAGATTGGGGTACGATGTAGGAGCAAATAGTGTGGAAATAATGGACGGTTCGGACGAAGGGATCTTCATTTGGTACACGGTTAATTTATTGCATAGTAAGTGATTGAGGATTATTTTTATATAAAAATCATAATTATATCTGTATTTAGAATGTATTTTATTCGAATACACTTTTACGGGGAGTTTTGTTTTTTTTTTATAAATAAGGCGCGTTTATTTTCGTGATAGAAAAAGCGATGACTAATTGATAAAAGAATATATATTTTTAAACTAAAAAGATCACATCAATGATACCACATAATTCAATATCACTTAAAGTAATTATTACACCTTTAATTTTTTCTTCTATAATAAAAAAAAAAAAGATTTTATTGCGAGCTGAATTAGAACTACTTCCTTATATTCTACAGAGTTGAGATTTTATATGTTGGCTCAGTTCCAGACACAATGATTTTTTTATAATTATTGATGACCTGATACTCCCTCCATCTAGGATTATCTCCAGACAGCAACTGCTTAATAGCTAGTGCAGACACGAAATTTTATATATGCGTTCAATTATTTAGTTTTGTTTTAACTATATTTATAGAGATCATCTATTATATATATTTCGATAAAATTGCTTGTAATTTTTAGATCTAATCGATGGTGAGACAATGGCTGCCTTAGACTTAGGGGGTGGTTCCACCCAAATAACATACCAGTTAAGCGAGAAAGATGCTAAGTTTTATCCGAACTCGGACCGATATATAGTGCCCGCTGGCAGTGATAATATTACTTTATATACACATAGGTAAGTTAATTTATGTCTGAATCCTTGGTTGTAATAAAAATAAATAAATCCTAGAACCCGATTTCAGCGCCATCTAAAAGGTCCAGTTTTGAATCTAAATCATCCAGGGAATATCTCAAACACACACAAAAAATTTCATCAAAATCTATCCAGCCGTTTAGGAGGAGTTCAGTGACATACTCATGTACAGAAGGAATTTGACATTTTGAACTTAACAAAAATATGATGAATTCAAATGTCAATAGATGACGTTATATATATCTATATTAAAGTTGTGTTAAATTAGCAAAAGATAAAAAAATGGATCCCAAAAAGGTGTATTATTGTTTTAAAAAAATTAAAGTAAAGGGAAGATAAATAATGCGCATGTAAATCAAATTTGCATAATTTTAATGATTATTGGCACAGATGGCGCTTTTACTTTTTATGAATTGTTTATTTCGGTTAAAGTTGTCAAAAATCAGCTATTTTTTTATTTGGATGCAGGATCAATTTTAGAATATTTACTTTACGTTAGTTTGCACTTATTTATTAAATAAAACAGTTTAACTATTTGCGAATCAATGTCATTTTTTATTACTTATCAATTCAAGCAAACAAAAATAGCCTGAATTTCTTTGTATGGGATGAGGCATCTGTACTAGTATATGTGTTCTGTGGTTAAACTAAGTGTTATATTTCAGCTACCTAAAGTTAGGTTTGTTAGCGGCGAGACACGGAGTGTTTCGGCTGGAGGCGAACGATAACAACACCAATGAGTTCGAGTCAGTGTGCGTCGATCCCATCGTGCAGAAGGAGAAGTGGACGTATGCGAACAAACAATATATTATTAGGTAAGTTCGAATTGGATTACTACATATTATAAATGAGAAAGTTTGTATATTTGTTTGTTAATCCTTCAAGATAAAGTTACTGTGTCGATTTCGATGAAATTAAGTACACAGATAGGTTTTTATGTGGAATTACATATATGTTCCTTGTAGGTACTTAGGACACAGAGCGAACCGAATCTAAGGTGTCAGTATCCAATGTGTTAAAATCATTACGTTGTTTTAAGCAAATATTATAATTTAACTATTATAAATCGTAAAGTTTGTATGTGTGCGAGTGCGTTTGTGTATGCGTGCGTGTAACTATGTGATGTTTGTTATTACTTAACATTAAAATGGCTGGACGGATTTCGATGAAATTCTGTACATAGTTAAACATTTTATCAAGAATAACATAAAAGCTGCTATTAGGAAAGATTCGAGTTACTGGTGAATATTAAATACATATATCTATAATATGTATGTATTTAATAAAATAATGTATATTTATAATATGTATGTATTTAAAGTTATATATGTGTAGTGTATCAACTATCTGGTATCCATAACACAAGCCTCGTAGCTTACCATGGAACTAGATGGCGCTGTGTGTTAATGTCCCAATATATATTTATATATATATCACCCGCCAGCGGGGCGCGCCGGCCGGACAGCATGAAGCGCGAGGCGGTGTACAACCGCTGCCACGAGGTGGTGCGGCGCTACGTGCGCGCCACGCTCGACTGGGAGCCCAGCGAGCCTCCGCGCGGCGCCGTCGCCGCCATGAGCTATTTCTACGACGTGGCCGCCGATGCCGGCATTATTGGTGAGCGGATTGGATTGTATTAAGCCTTTTTTTAACGCCCCACGGCTGGGCACAGGCCTTGAAGGGATTCAATACGAGGGGTATCAGGTTATATATCAGGTCATAGTCCACCACGCTGGCCAAGTGCGGGCGGACTGAGCATGTCTTTCGAAAACTTACTAGGTTCTTTTATATATGTTGGTTTTTTAAATGGGCAAAGAATTATTTATGATCAGAATAACTTGAAACTTGTTATTAATGCTCTTCAATACAATTAAATAAATACGTGTTTTAACATTTTTCGAAATTCAATCCCATAGAAGGTTAAATGGGGGATGAATGTTTGTATGAAACTCTGTAATTAATATTAATATGTAAAAAAGTAAAAAAAATATAAATAAATATTCACCTGTAGACAATTTAAGAGTTTTAAAATCACTTTCTTTAAAATGATGTCTACATGGCGTCAAATATAAAGATTGTGATTTCGACAATTTTGCTCGTCTTATTGCTCTAGCTCAATTTCTTCTGTTTTTGTCTTGTGGGAACAAATTATATACATTTTCTTTGCATTCTTTTAATTAAATATTAAATAGAATAAAATCCATCCAAGCTATAGAGCCTTATTGAGAGCCATAGTTATCGTAGTGATCGCGACATCTGGCGGGAGAAGAAGGCAAAATTCAACCCCATTTTGGGATTACTGTTACGTGGATTATTTTTTTATTCTTGATAATTATTAATGTGGCAAAATTGCTACAGTATACAATCTGCCTGACGGTGTAACTATGATTGATAAAGCTGGGATTATTGATGTGTTTTTTTTTTATTTCTGTTGATTTTTGTGATATTTTGTTTATGGCAAGAGGATGTATAATTTTTATATATAGATATAACCCATTCATTTATGAAAATAAATATTTAAATATATATAGATTTAAATATATATATTTTTTACTATTACTATTAATAAAACATTCCTTCACCCACCAGATGTAATGAAGGGCGGCACGGTGTCGGTGGCGCAGTACCGCGCGGCCGCGCTCAAGGCGTGCTCGGCCTCCAACGTGGAGCAGCCGTGGGCGTGCGCCGACCTCGTGTACGTCGTCACGCTGCTGCAGGACGCGTACAAGATTCGTGACAACGAGCCCGTCTCGGTGAGTCGCTCTGACGATCGGGTCCTTCGTTCGTCCGTGCCTTTGTTCGTTCATTCGTTCGTAATTAAACGTCGAGTATATGTTATGGTGCCTCGGTGGCATTGTATTGTATTCAGCCCTTTTTTAACGTCTCATTGCTGGGCACATCAACACGAGTGGGATCAGGCCATAGTCCACCACTCTGACCAAGAGCGGGTTGGCGGACTTCACTTTTGAAAATCTTGCTAGGTTCTCTCAGACATGCAGGTTTCCTCACGATGTTTTCCTTCACCGTAAGGAAAATCACATGAAAAAATCAGTGGTGTGAGACCCGGGATTTGAACCCGCTTCACTCGGTTTCCCAAGCGAGCGCGTTACCACTGGGCTACCACTGTCTTTCCTCGGTGCTGTTCCTTGTCTCGTGGTATAGTCAATAGCATGTACGGCTGCAGATCCGGAGGTCCTGGGTTCGAGTAAACTTCAAACAAAAGACTAAACGTGCCTTAAGTTTAGTCTTTCTATTAATGAAGTCCCAGTAACAGCGAAGTTGGTAAGTTGATGGTATTGTGCCTAAAGGAGAGTACTTAAAGATGTTGGTCCTGATGCCTTATCTCTCACCGGTCGTGTTGAATTATTATCGTCCCATCGGACTTTGGGAGAGAGAGAGAGGGGCAGAGAGTGCACTTTGTGTGTGCGCTCTCTCTCACATGCCTGCACTTTAAAATATCTCGTGCTGTTGCCTAGTCTCTGTCAGATTAGTCGACATCATATAAAATTTGAGAACATTAGTATATTCACTTACAAGAATAAAACATATTATAACAAGCTATTTTTAATCGTTTACAGCTATTTAAAAAAGTGAACGGACACGAAGTATCGTGGGCACTAGGACTCGCTTACACCAACGTGATGAACAGAATCGCGGCGAAAGCCTAGAACAAAGTAAGATAATATATATTTTTTTCCATATATAATTTTCAGTTAAATTCACAATTTTATAAACAGTTAAATTTAAAATGTGACACGGCTATATTGGTATCTAGATCTATTTTTTACAATTTTGATTGAACATGTGATTTTAAATTTTTAATCTAACAATATGTTATATGGCAGTTCTGTTACTTATTCTATGACAAAGAAAATAGCAGTTTGGTTCTTTTTTGTTATTGTATTTGACATATTGATATTATTTCCATATTTCGTTTGTTTCAAATTATATTCATGTCACATTTCTATTTGATTTTTGTTCTATGGTTCTTTAATTTTTTTGTATTAATCAATTAAATAAATTTTTATGATTTTATTTTGTGTTTTTTTTTAATAATATATATTACAATTATAATATTTTTAACAGTGATTCGTTTAATTATTTGTATTTTTATAAATGTCTTTTTTTGATATTTGTAATATGTGTATTTTAGAGATATTCTCAATTTTTAAAAATATTGAATTTTATATGTAACATTGACACTGCTTATCTTTTTTCTACAATTTTATGTCGTTTACGATGTGAATTTCTATTGCAGTTTATTATTCTGTAATGCTTTTTGTAAAATAAATAAATGTAAATCCAGTTTTAACTAGTTGATATTCTTGTTTTTTATAAAAAAAAACAACCTTTAGTCGACCATTTTTTATCTTCACTCATGGAGCATAGAAGTACGGAGTTACTTATGTGGAAGACGAGTCGAAAATGTGTCACCTCTATGTTGAAAACAGATGACGCTCGCGTACAAAGAACTACGATATGAATTTAGCTGTTGTAGAAGCGTTTTGACGGTACTTCTATGCTCCATGTTTTGACATAAGTTCAAATTGACGTATCTGTCAAAATGTACTGTTGTACTTAATAAAAAAAACAAAAGTTGTATTTATATAAAAACGCGCTGAAAAAAAAAATGTCTCTTCCCCTCGTCGGACCCATAATAGCTGTAAATTTGAATCTAACTAATGCCTTGAAATAAAAGTTTAATCATTATAGGTCGTAGCTATATACTTTTTTTTTAATTTTATTTAAAAGTTTTGCGGTGTTTTTTTAAATCCTTAACATAAAAGCAATTCAAATTCGAATTTTTAATTAAGCTTAAGTCAAATGTGATAGTGAAAATGGTTTAAGCTACAACCGCACATACATATATATTTTTTATATGGATATAATGTATATGCAAAATAAAATTCATTTTATATACCTACATTGTGCCTAAATATCAGACAGATAAGGTATATCATTTGTACTTAAAAAAAATCTAATCGATTTAATTTATTAAAGAAGAATAATCTTAAAACGTCTCAAAAAATTATGTTATGGGTAATTAATAATATTTTTAAGTATTGGGATAACTTTTGACATAATAGTTTTTCTTTTATTTCTTCTTTTTTTCAATGGCAATATATTCCAAGGGAATGTTATGTTCTACAGCCATTTTGAATAACTCAAGAATTTATGATAACTAATATAATAAATAATAACATCAAGTTGTATGAAATTTAGCGAAAAACTTTTTTTGTAATTTTATATACAAATTTATTGCAATACAATTGCATACTTATTGTAAATTCATTTATGATTAAATGACATGAAAATGTGAATTTCAAACCGTTATACAATTTCAATTTAATATAACTTAAAAAATTGTTTAAAAAAATACTCAACAACATGCAGATATTTTTATTTCTTGACTTTTTTTAACGCATATAAAATATAAAAGCACTTACATGTTTTTATTTTACTATATTTAAAAATTACAGTGTTTCCATCCTGTGCTCTATAAAAAAATGTTACTGAAAATGTCTCATTTTGAGCGAAAATCCCAGTTAGACCAAATATAAATATTAAATATGTTGGGGCATTAATACACAGCACCATCTTGTTCCATGGTAAGCTACGAGGCTTGGCTTGTTCACTACACAAATAAAAACTTTAAATACATACGGACAGACAGACAAAAAAAATTAAAACTGTTTTCTTATAAGTACCGTATATATTTTCATACGTATTTAGTAAAAAGTTGTTATCTCGATATGACAGACAGACATTTCAATTTTATTTAGCTGTTTAGATTTATATCACTACTTAGTAAACAAAGTTGCTTACCGCTGTCTGTCTATCCTTATGTATGCTTAGATCTTTAAAACTACGCAACGGATTTTGATGCGGTTTTTTTAATAGATAGAGTGATTCAAGAGGAAGGTTTATATGTATAATACATCCATAATATAGTAGAGAAACACTTATAACTTTAAAGGTTACTAATGTGATGTCGTAAATGAACACTTTTTTTTCGCTTACATTGCAAACGCTGGCTGAACCCTACGAGAGAGATCAAAATAATGTACTACAGTATTGTACGCCTTAAAAATGCCTACAAAAAAGTCCGCGATGGCTTATGTCTATCTCTTAAGGATAAAATACCATATCCATTATAATACCTAGGGAGGAACCCGAGCGAAGCGAGGGTGAGTCGCTCGTATTATAATAATTTCAAACAAACTCAACACATAATAAACAAAAGTGATAAGCAATGATATACACAGTGAGATTATTTATAATTTCGAACAATAAGAAAAACAAAAACATCTTAGGATATTATTTTATTTATGTAAATACATATACATACATAATTACAACTGTTGGTACTTAAAATAAATTCAAATGAGGTCTGCGTCATCTTGTGTTAACTTATATGTACTAAATTATTCTAATTTTTTTGTATAAGACGAACTTTTTACATAATATTTATCATAAGACTATGTTAATTTTAATAGTATAAATTATATACGTATATGTAAAATTATTGCATTATCCGTACTTTTAAGACGACAGGTTGTATTCACTGCATACACATAATTAGCACATTTATATACGTATCGTTATTTATATTTATATTGTTGTTTTATATTGGGGTCAATCTGCATTCGATACTTTTTTCCTCGATTATATTGTTATTATATACAGCTTGGTTTTTATGACATATGAGTCCTTTCAAATATAATTTAAAAAAAAAACAATCAAATTAAAATCAATCATTAAAATTTTAATCTAATTAGATCACGGTTGACAATTTATAAGTTCACATAGAAATGTGTCCAAATTGAGTACCCTCATTTTTTGAACTCGGGTAACAAGAAACAAACAAAGATTTCCAATGAACTGAGTTTTAAACTGGTTTATTTTAACTATATAACAATTTAACTAAGTCGAGAGATTACATATTAAGTGATATTAGAAGAAGAAGTAAAAGTGATAATAAATGTTGTCGTCGTTAAAAATATCGAATGCGCAGACACCCCTAACTTTACCTTTCGATTTTGGAAATGTTTAAACTTTTGCAAAGCTTCAGTGCACCGTTTTGTGTAAAGTATCTAGTGTATTGGTGTTAATGTAAATTGTACAAAATTTAATAAATGTTGGATTTTAACGTGTTGTTTTTTTAATCTGTCCAAAAATCGTTAAATTCATGTGACGTAATTTATGGATGGCCCGCTTATTTCGCGGATTAATTTAGATTTGTGGTTTCCGACGTTTCGAAAGCGTGGAAGCATGGCCACGGGAGAGACTAAGGTTGTAGACGTCTCAAAGACTTTATTTTTTACAGACATTTTTTATTTGTTACAGACAAGTATATAAAGCCTTTGAGACATCTAAAACCTTAGTCTCTCCCGTAACTATGATTGCATTCGTAACGCCGGAAATAAAAAATCTAAATTTATACGAAAAGATAGATTTATTTAAAACTTTCCAAATTTTTTTTTTTTCTACGTGTACGTATGTAAATAGAAAATAGCCAATATATTAATCGGATATAACCTGTTTTACGAGTATACAGAACTACACTTAAATCAGTTGCAGCTACATGCTATTGACAAAAAGGGGGAAGCTCTAGCGGTCAGCCTCGACATCGCTAAAGCTTTTGATCGAGTTTGGCATAGGGCTCTACTTTCGAAGTTGCCATCCTACGGACTTCCCGAGAAGCTGTGCAATTGGGTCGCTAGCTTTCTTCATGGGCGCAGCATCAAAGTCGCTGTCGACGGTTTTTGCTCTGAACCTAAGCCCATCAACGCTGGCGTCCCGCAGGGCTCCGTGCTATCGCCTACATTGTTCATTCTGCATATCAATGATATGTTGCAAAACAGCAACATCCATTGTTATGCAGATGACAGCACTGGCGATGCTCTCTATAAAGGTCAAACACAGTTCTCTCGCGCAATGCTGGAAGAGAGTAGATCCAAACTTGTGTCTGACATTGAGACCTCTCTCGAGAAAGTGTCAGTATGGGGTTCACAAAACCTTGTGCAATTTAACCCCTCAAAAACACAAGTTTGTGCGTTTACCGCCAAAAAGACCCCTTTCACCACACCTCTTCTCTTTCAGAACACTTCCCTCACCCCCTCCGATAGCATTGGGATTCTTGGTGTTCACATTTCGAACGAAGTCCAGTTCCGGGATCACTTGGAGGGAAAAGCTAAATTAGCCTCTAAAAAACTTGGGGTGCTCAACAGAGCTAAGCGGTACTTTGCGCCAGAGCACAGGCTCCTACTTTATAAATCGCAAGTCCGCCCACACATGGAATATTGCTCTCACCTTTGGGCCGGAGCACCCCAGTATCAACTCCTACCATTTGACCGGATTCAAAAGAGGGCAGTACGGCTTGTGGACGATCCCAAATTAACTAGTTCATTGGAAAGCCTGGAACACCGCAGAGACGTAAGCTCTCTTTGCGTATTTTATCGGCTATATAACGGGGAGTGTTCTGAAGAGCTATTTGACCTTATCCCACCTTCTCTCTTCTACAACCGAACCGCACGCCACCGAAAGCAATTTCACCCTCACCACCTGGGTATCTGGAGCACTTCGACTGTCCGTTGTACCAGATCATTTTTTCCACGTACTACCAAACTGTGGAACCAACTCCCATCGACTGTGTTCCCGCTTGACTACAACATGGGGTTATTCAAGGGGCGGACCAATAAAGTCCTGAAAAGCCGGCAACGCATTAGTGGTGCCTCTGGTGCTACAAATGTTCATGGGCGGCGGTAATCTCTTAACATCAGGAGACCCGCCTGCTCGTTTGCTCGCTAATATTATAAAAAAAAACTACTTTTTGTTTCTGGGTAATTTTCTTGACGTACCTACCACACGAGTGAAACTGTGAATGAAAACTAGTTGTTTATTATTCTAATTGATTGAAAATGCACATTGGGATATAAGATGTAAAAGGAAACACACGAACAAATTTTATGATTTATTAAGAACCATTCAGTAGTTACAATAAAAATGTTACACTAACGCTTCTTACGATTTGAGTCGCTCAGTCTCCTAACATGATTATAATCAAAAAGTAAATCTAATACCATGCGCATACGCAGAGAATATACACATACGTCATAATTAATGTTCTTACTTAAAAAAGTATTTAATGTATGTCGCAGGAAAACTGTAAAATCAGATAAATTGTAATTTCACTAGTGAAATTGTAATTAAAATTTACCGGATCTTACAATTTCCCTGAGACATATACAACGAGATGCAATATTAGTTCGAAAATAAAGAAATCAGTTTGAAATATCCAAAGGTTTTATATTTCCCTACGTTAAATGAATTTCTCCCTCTTCATTCCATTATAAATTCTATCTATGTACGCGCATGTCTAACTGATACAGATATTATATCAATAACACTATTTTTACAACACTAAGTAAGTTTCTGAATGTTGCCTGGCTTGCATTGAATTAAAATTATTTAAATTATGTTAAAAAGTGAAAACGTTTTGTATTTTTATAAGACGGGATTAGATATGTTTATTCAATTCACCCTTATATTGTCCTAGAATCTAGGTCCTAGATAGAAAGCTGGAAAATGGCAACATTGCAACACTTTGTGCCTTTCTTTTATTGTATGGCAACATTCAGAAACAATTTTAAAAGGCTTAACATCTAAATGAGAGTCAATGATTTCATGATTGTATTTTAAACATTCAATGTAAGTATAAATTGTTAAAAATATGACACGACAGATTGACTACACACTTGGAATACCTATCTAATGATTTTAAAAAGCTAATTAGTTTAAATTTGGATATTTATTAATATAAAAAGTGCGTATACAAAGCAGTACGAGAGGTTCTATCACAATAAAATCATATAAAAAATAGTAATGGATTATCATAATAATTAATAATTTATATATATATTTTAATTGGGGTAAGGGCTAGGTTAGCATAATGGGGATTTAGGGAGTTTTTTTTTAATTTTTGAGATTTTTAGATATGTCAACACAGGATTTTTCGAAACGGCCAACTCTATGCTTATATTTTTAATCTATTTAACTATTTTATCTTGTGGCTACTTGATTTTGAATAATTTACTTATCAACTGGAAACTAAACTAACTATTATTTATTAGATTTAAAATACTACGTTAACATGATATTAGTAAAGAATTATGGATGTAAGAACAAACTGCACCAAAATGTGCCCAGTAAACTCGAAACGCTGAGTAGGTAGCGTACACTCAAAATGTTGTCAAATGTCATAATTGTTTTTTTTAAATAGAACCTTTTCTTTTGGAAACATTTTAAAGCTAGTAAAAAATAATAAAAAAAACCTCCTCAATAACATGATGACGAATATATCTACTATTTTTGTGTAGGTATTTAAGTATTCTCTAAGCCTAAGGTTACATAAAATAAAGTCGAACTAACGAAACTAGTAATTCATACATATTTTCTTATTTATAAGGGAATGCAAATGAGAACATATTTATAATATATAACGCAATAATTCATAATAAATTATTAATTTAAACGATTATTGTAACATAAGTCCTAAGATAGACTTGTTTCATTAAATGAAAAGAATGCAGTTCAAATTTCAAAAGCAAAAATATTTTATAATCTTTAGGGCTATTCGCATAATTTTTTTATGTAATACAAAATTCTATTCAATTCGTTTTTTGATGGTTTTAAATGCATCAAATAATATTAAAAATTTCCATGCAAAGGAATTTTAAATTTTAGTTATAGCAAGCATTGTTTTTTGATGATGACATAACAAGAAAATAGAAATATGACAAATGACAGATCCATTCTAATGTTGCCAGTAAATATGTAATATACTGTTATTTTCCTACGTTATTTATTCTAGATATTTCATATTTGGTACTACTTAAAGGAAGATTTCTCATTCTAATTTTTATAATGGCGTGGTACCTATCTACGTTTACTCAATTTGAATTTTAGTAAAACTGATACGATTAATAAATTGAGTTTCTCTCATTTTAATCTTAAATCACCGAAGTATTTTAAATAAGATTACAGCTTCTTGTACCAGAAGAGATAATGTTCGCCATCCTCCACCAGCAAGTCGTCGACACCTGTAATATTTTTTTTTATAAATAAAGGTTTAATTTTATGTAGTCTATTTTTAAAGACAAAATAAATAAATAATGAAATGTAAGAGTATCTATATATATTGAAGAAGATTATTAATAGGTAGTATAACATCAAGTAACGACTCTTAAGAGCGGAGCAATTAAAATAATAGATGTCACTATTTATGATGTTTTTAATATATTATGTCGCATAGGATCTTAAGCAGAATCATAGAAGTCGATAAATAAAATATTTCATTTAACATAAAACTTTTTGCGAACCTATTATGGCTTAGTCGATTAATCCTGAATATTGTTCGGTACAACCAAAGTCCAGTCAAGTTTGGATGAATTTAGTATATATAAATTATGAGATAAAATATTACATATTGTTCAGAAGCTATAATAAACGCACCCGAGCGAAGCGAGGTTAAGTCACTAATTCATCATTATAGAAATCCTGTATAAAAGAAAAAAATAAATAAGATTACACACCAACAGGAGCAACAAGCTGGTTGCCAGGGGGACTGGTGGGGTCAGGGATTTCTGGTAGGCGGTAGAGTAGCCAGTAGTGGTATCCCATAGGTTCCTCCTTATGACCAGCTAAAGTATGCACGTAGTGACCATTTGGCCATTCGCTGGCTTCAAACTTGAATTTAGGGTCTTGTTCCGCCGCCATTTGCATCACATGGTAGAAGGAAATATTTCTGGAAATTAAATTAAAATACGTGTCGTTTATACTCGTACAGCCTTAGTATTGTAAATAAGGATCTTGAAGGTGAATAACCGATGACAGGTCATTTGACTATTAGAGGGAATATTAACGCATATTTCTCTAAAAAATATTTTCACAAGATAATTATAATTTGTTTTGACTCTACTGCCACTTAAGAAGGCTGACGTTTGTCAAGTATATATTTTTTTGGTATGTTGTGAAGTATAAATGGCTAAATTTAACATTTGTGTTGTTAGATTTGTCTAAATTGTAGTGATGGTATATTTAAATATGTTAATTTATTTTTCACCTTTCTGCTAACAATTGTTTAAGCAGTCGAATTCTTTAAATTTTTCTTTATAGCACCTACTGTTATACTTTGTTTATTGAAAACCTGTCTCCAATAATGTTTTGAATGATTCTCTATATTTTGCCAGACATTTCATTTTAGATATCGGGAGTATTATAAAGTAAGTTTCTACAGTCTAAAGTAAACAATATAAAAATACCTCGGAGCAACCATATAGAGTGTATAATTCTCAGTAACATTCGTGCCGAGCCACAGCGTGTAAGTGAAGGAGACGTTGCGAGCATCAGAGTCATTGCTGGAGTGGCCGGATTGGTACGCCAGCTTTAGGCTACCGTCGCCACCGTTGCTATCTATAAGCAAGTACAGACTTCAGAAATATAACACTTGACTTTATACTTAAATATAAATGTCAAGAATATCTTAATCTCATCTTAACGACCTACACATTTATCTAATTTTAGGAATAAGTTCACCCGGAACCGGATTTTTTTTGGCCGGATGAAGAATTCGGGATAGCGTTTAATAAAGCTTTTTATCATATTACTATTTACTATATGTATTACCTAGAGGCTCATGTCGACTATCAAGCAGTTTATCGCTGCAATGCGGTGGACGTACAGCAGCAAGGGACGCTGGAGTCAGCGCTGCCACCGCTGCAGCGGTCTTGGCAACGTCTCCCCAACCACCGTCAGGCTCTTGACGCTCGAGGAGCCACTTCCTGGCTGAAGGAAGACTCCAGTGCTGGTGAGCTCCGGGACCATTGTCTGAGTCTTCGAGGGCCTTAAAATTAGAGAAATAGCAAAGAATTTGTTAACAATGTACTTAATTAAATACAGAAATAATGAAAATATTTTAGTTTCCCCCCCTTTTTTGTAAATTGGACAATACCTATACCACCTACCTACACCTACCAAATTATCTCCACCAAATTATCTCGTTCATTGCAACAACTTGCTGAGAAACGTACGTGGCGGGTTAGACGTTTGGAGAATACCAAAAGTGACGATCTTATTAATATTTTAAATGCATGAATTTGTGATTGACTGAGTCTAAGTGTGTATTTGATACTTGCGTTCTTCATGCTATAATATATCAAACGACTTCAGTGCAATTCAAAATGGAAATGTCGACGTTAAAATGGGATAAATGTATAGCTCTTTTCTTACTTGTATAGCTAAAGCGGTTGTTGTCAAAGATCCAAAACTACCATCAGGGTGCTGTTGACGCGCCAGACCAGCCATCGGCCGTCGCACGAAGTGAATAAGGCTTCGGTGACGATGATCTTGTACTACGCAACGTAGTGCCAAGATCACCATTGATATAGTATCTGTTATAATAAACTTATATTAAACACATGAAAACTTTACTAAAACTATATTTTTTAATTTCGACGTCTACACGTTTCGAATGCTTTACAGCAATCATGGTCACGGGAGAGACTAAAGTTTTAGACGTAAAATAATTATAAATACACACAAAATATATAAAGCAGAAAGAAGAGTTTGTTCGTTTGTTTGTTTGAACGCGCTAATCTCTGGATCTACTGGTCCGATTTAAAATTTCATTTGAGAAATTTATTAAGAAGAGTAGATTATATTACATCGCACTACGATCTACGATAGACATACAAAACACGTGGTACAAAATTATCAGACGTGGAAGGAACCGTGAGAAAACGTTAGTGTAAAAAAATAAAAATATAAATAATAATAGATGCTACATAATATGTGAACCTCTTTAGACCTAATTTCATCATTTTTTGACAGTGATTAGATTTCCCTAGTCGTTTTTTTCGGAGCTAACGACATTAGTGTAAAGTTCTTACCAGTAACAATATCAATTTTACTTATTTTATCGTTTTGACATACTTTGAACTTTTATAAATATTAACAGTGACTTTATATGTACTTAAGCATATTTTTAGAGAATATTTTCATTTATCATCTTCATTTACGAATACACTTTTTAACGGACTTCCAAAAACGAGGAGGTTCTCAATTCGCCGGAATCTTTTTTTTTAATGTATGTTCACCGATTACTCGAAGACGCCTGAACCGATTTGATTTTTTTTTGTTTTATTTGAAAGGGTATACTTCCCAGGTGGTCCCATATAAATTTTATCGAAATCGGTCGAGCGGTTTTTAAAAAATCAACAATAAATATATTTTTTAAGCAAATTGCTTAATCGAATATGTTATTAAAAACTTTCTTCCTACAAATTACCTGCTTATGACGTCTACACTAAAAATTTCAAAATAAAAACTTTTTACCAAAAAATAAAACCGACTTCCATGCACTAAAATGTAAAAAATAACTAAACGGGGGCTTTTATTAAGAATAGATACCTAATCAGATATTTTCGAAGTCGGTGCCAGCGGACAATATTTTAAGATATGAATATCTAACAGGTAAATATGAATTTTACGTATAAAAATATATTAGGTTTCCTATGCGTCGGCTGGCACCGACTTCGAAAATATCTGATTAGGTATCTATTCTAAATAAAAGCCCCCGTTTAGTTATTTTTTACATTTTAGTGCCTGGAAGTCGGTTTTCTTTTTTGGTAAAAAGTATTTTTCAGCCATTATTTTCACTGTGTATAGAAAGAAATACTCTATAGAGTTGCTATTTAAGCTATTCTAGATAAATATTTATCCTTAAGGAATAACATCAGAAAATTTAACAAACAAATACTGAAAGAAATCTTTCACAATAGGTTTTATATAAAAAAATTGAAGTCTTTACTTGCTCTCTAAAGATCTGGAGTGTTGTAAGTCATTATATAACTAGCTTTCACAACTGCGGTCTGTTAAGAATTCCTTAGATTGGTTTGTTTCTATCTATTTTGGTCCTGAATCTTAACCTCTTAACGGTCTAGAAACTTACCAAGGCTATGATCAGCAGCTGCATTTGCAATGTCCAAAAGACGCCTGATATGCCGACGTCGTACATGAGCGGCAGAAGAACAGGCAGCTAGAGTTGCATATGCAAATTCCAGGTCATGAGGAGGTTCACGGTGGAGCAGAGCAGTTACGAGGTCCCGGCCATGGAAAGATCTGGGATCCTTGCAAAGGGCTCCTAATGCGAGAGTGTAAGCGGCGAGACGACCCAATGGTGGTGGAGACTCATGGTGTCTAATGGTAGATATATATAAAGAGATTTTTAAATTAATAGAAATTAGCTTTGTTTGTTTAAATTACATGTGTTTCTTTTATTAGATTAGAGAACTTAAGATATTGATGTTAGGTTTATTTGATACAACACCCAAATCGAAATACCTTTTACTCGAGAAAAACGGAAAAGTAGTAATATTTTATTTTTAACATATTTTGGCTGTAAAAAACCTATATACTTGTTCTTTACATTGTTATATAGAATATATGTACCTAATAATTTTCTGTAACATTTTTCGACAATCATAATATACGAGTATAATCATGTATGTTTGATTTTGGGAACCATTTTCTTATATTTTTATATAGGTACAAAATTACAAATAGGCCATTACCGTTAACAAAGAACAGATCACAACTTTCATATTATATTCACTATTATATTATACTTTCATATTATTAAAGAACATATCTATACTCGTACTATAATAAAACAGTAGAGGTCGAATGTCTGATTGATTAAGCTTTATAATAATAAGTTACTATGACACGTTTAACGGGTATTGCCTAGTATCCTTAGTAGTAAAATTAAATCTAATTTCCATATGGGATTAATTTATCACGCGGATGTTTATGATAATGTATGACGATAAAAACCCCCAACCAACACAATATGGATATTATACATAGCAAAAAAATGCTAAAAACCGAATCAGGGGGATGTAAGAAGACAAATAGAACAAATCCAGATTTTTCATTTTTTTGTTTCTCTGTTTGTCTGTTTGTACGGGGTAATCTCCGAATCTATTGGACCGATTTAAATGAAATTTTGCATGGTGGTACCTTATATCCCCGGGCAACATCTTAGATACTTTTTATCCCGGAAAATTAAATAGTTCCCGTGGGATAGTTAAAAAACTATAATAATTTATACAGCTTAGTACACAAAAACTACTGATTGGATTTTAATAAAACTTTACAATAATATATTTCATACTTGAAAATAACAAATCGGCTACTTTTCATCCCGGAAAATTAAAGGGTTTCCGTGGGACAGTCAAAAAACTATAGTAACTTATACAGCTTAGTACACAAAAACTACTGATTGGATTTTGATAAAACTTTACAATAATATAGGTCATACATCAGAAAAACAAATAGGTTACTTTTTATCCGGAAAAATGAACGGTTCCCGTGGGAACTAATAGATCTCTATTAGTCTTTTTCTAGAGGCGAACCCGAGCGAAGCGAGGGTGAGCCGCTAGTTTCTCAATAAATTTCGCTGCCGTATATTTCTGTTTTATTTTTTAATTTAAATCAATTAAACAACTTTAAAGGTCTCCAAAAGTTTCATTTATGATACATTTAAATGCAAATACATATCTATATAAATAACAAATAATTAAAATTTTATAAACCTACATATATAAATAAATCAAAATGAAATGTTGTTAATTGGTAGGCACATCACTTGAGAACGCTTGGCCATTTTTTCTAAAGCTCACAATGTTATATAACTCGCTCGGAGAAATAAGATTTTTAAAGGAAAAAAGGGAAAAATGGCTTGGAAAATTGTGAAATTCTGGCAAAACTGATAGTGCCTTTTTCTATATATTTTTTTATGAACTCAAATGTTACAGACCAATATGTATATTGTACAATTTGAACAGGATAACGTCACAGACGTTGGGCGTTGACTCATTCACGTACATATTATGCATAATTTAGTAGAATAATAAAAAGTCACAGACGTTAGGCGTTGACTCATTCACGTACATATTATGCATAATTTAGTAAAAAATAAAAAGAATATATTAAATCTTACTTGGACATCATAAGCAGTATTTCTATTTCCATTTGTTTCGCAGACAACTGCATCTCTAAGCCCTGTTGCTCAATTTCTTTGCCTGTATTATTCGCTAACTGAAATAAATAAATAATTTTTAACAAACATTTAACATGCATCTAATTTCTAACACTAAATCCTAATTATGGAATGATTGCATTAACAGAGATTATAAATTTAAGAGACCTTAAGAGAGACGTATGATATGAGGAACCTACTCTTTAACAAAAAAAGAATCAATAAGTTAGATCATACTAGTAATAAGCGATAATAACGTGATATGTACTAAAAACATCTTTCTCCTCCTATTTGATCTCGGTAGAGTACCTATTATTATTTATAGAATTAAGTTATTGATTTAATTGATACTAATACATCAATCTTTATATTAAATTCTAAAGAATGAGTAAGCTCAAGTAGCAGTGGGCTGGTCACATTTGTTGCAGAACTGATGATCGATCCTCATCCTCCATGAGACGGGTCCTCGAGTGGAGACCACGGCTCTGCAAACGTAGTGCATCTAGGTGGAGTGACGATATATGCAAAACGGCAGGCAGCATGTGTAGAGTTAAAGATCGAGCTCAGAGACGTGCCCTAGGAGAGGCCTGAGTCCAGCAGTGGAGGAAAGCAGGCTGACGACTATTATGATGATGATGACATCAATGTCATTTAAAGTTGGAAAAATATGAAAATACAATTTGGAAATGTCTAATATTTTAGGGTTGAATTATGTACCATCTAACACTAAACTAATCCTTACTTGTAAAGTTAACATCACATGGTGAGTATCGTTGCCCCATCCCCAATCAGAAAAGCGATGTTGCAAAAGGTACTGTAGTGCTTTTTGTATCGCCTGACCCTCGTTCAAAGTTTCAGTTTCCCAGGCCACAGTGGTGGGTGCCACTGTGGTAGTGGGCGGTTTTGTGCTTGATGTTGTAGGGGCTTCTGTTTCTGCAAATCATCCACACTTTTATATTAGCAGTAGATATGAAGTATAATAACCTGTCAACGACTGCCGAGCCACAGGTGGCTCGGTTAACAATTAATTTCTTAGAATTTAACCGCGAGGTGATAATAATTCGACAAAATGCTAGTTTGCTATGCCTTAATGTAGATATCATATATGATTCTGTTTTATCAGACCTTATAAAGTACAAATGTTGTACATGTGTTTTAATTTTGTTTTCTTATTTTAACTCTCGATAGCTTAAAAAATTTATAATCCCACAGGTTGGGGTTCAATAATTCAAAACGTGTAATGTATTCAAAACTTCAATCGATTGTTCAAAGTACCTATATATTATAATAACAAGTAATATTTGAAGTCTCGAATTTTAATTATACAATATACTCTATGTAATGCGCTAAAACTACAAGAAAACTCTAAAATGTGGGTTCCATAAAAACTTTCATCCCCTTTTTAGCCCTCTTAGGGGTTGAATTTTAGAAAACGCTGAAATATGTAACTTATTTTTTTGCCGTACTCAATTCATACGAAATTTTATGCAATTATATCCAAGGAATAAAAAGTTTCATACAAACTTTTTTCCCCTATTTCACCCCCTTGGAGGATGAATTTTAAATAATCCTTCCTTAGTTGATGCTTTCGTCACATGAGGAATTTGATGAGTGTGCGAAATTTCAATTTTCTAGCCTTAAGGGCTTAGCCTTTGCGTTGATACATCAGTCAATCACTTTTCCCTTTTATATATATACTAGTAAATCCTGCGGCTGCGCTTGCGCTAAAACTACAAAAAATCTCTAAAATCGTAGGTTTCATAAAAACTTTTATCCGTTATTTTACCACCATAAGGGATGAATTTCTGAAACTGCTAAAACACGTATTTAATTAACTGTATTGAAGAGCATTTTTTCCAAGTTTTAAGTAATTCTGATCACAAATATTTTTTTGGATTGTATTATAACGTGTTTTCCCGAGGGAAAAAGATAATTTCCCGCGCTAAAAAGTAGCCTATGTCACTCTCCAGCCCTCCAACTATCTCCACACAAAAATCACGTCAATCCACCAAGCCGTTTCGACATGAAAGAAAGACAAACAAACAAATACACTTTCACATTTATAATATTAGTATGGATGTATAGATGTGACGTGAGGTAACTCTGTTTTTACCTTTTCACACTTAAATCGCTAAACGAATTTCGATATTTGACAAAAATAGATTGCATCCGGGAATCGGATATTAAAGTAAGAAGGAAGTATTAAAAATTTCTTACCAGTTTGGCCGTTTACCGCAGCCACTACCACCAGCAGCGCCCATAGCATTAACGAAGTTAGACCAATTCTTGACATGGTCACTGAAACAAAAAAAATACTAATAATTATTATATTATGTTTGCGAACCTGTGCGAAAATTATATAATTTTTGTACCGCCCTTTGAGAAATTTTCTGATACAGTAGCGTCAACATACGAAAGATGGCGCGCGAGTCACGTGAGATAACTTGAGATAATAGTAATAGTAATAGCTGCACAGACCGTTTTAAATCGAGCATCATCAACAAGGTAAACACTAGCGACTCACCCTTACTTCGCTCGGGTTCGTCCCTAGGTTGATTCCCCATACAAACTTTCATCCCCATTTTCACCCCCCTATGGGATGATTTCCGGGATAAAAACTATCCTATGTATTTGTCAGGGTCTCAACTTATCTTCTTACCAAATCTCATCTAAATCGGTTTAGTAGATCCAGAGATTACCCCCTACAACCTGACAAATTCAACCTCTATATAATGTTAATATAGTTAATAATAAACCAAATAAAATAATAATACTCTTTATTAACAATTACAAATAAGATGTGTACAATAGTAGCACACTAAAAACAGTATAAAAGTAAGAAAGAGAGAGTAACAGTATAAGAGATGGCATTAAAGCAAAAACAGCAATCTCTTCTAGGCCTTGAGATTTATTGGTATAGCAAAGAATAGTCTAAAAGGAGACTGTTAATTTATTTTAATTTTCTACATTGTTTAATATATCTATAGTTTTAATCTTCTATTTTGTTTCTTTTTGAACCATATTAATCAATCAATATCATGAAAGTTTAATTACTTTTACTGCTTACTACTTCTATTGAAAGTGTTAGGATTGATGATTTTATCTGATGGATGGGAAATTTCGCTTTAAAACACAATGGAACACGTAGTGATGTCTGATGCAAAATATAGTTATTCCGTTCGAAATAACTATATTTGTGTCAGACATCACTAGCAGTTTCGACAAAGTGTAGGTACCCAACTTAGTAGGTTATCTTGAGCGCAAACTTTCAACAACTAGTGAAGTTCAATTTAAATATTTAACGTTGAATTGTTCCCAATGGATTTAAGACTCTTAATAGAACAAACTAATAGAAATATGAAATTCTTCAGCCTTTCTTTCAATAATAAAAGTTTTAAACTTCTTTAGGCGTGACTGAGGGGTAGGGGTAGGTCAATACATTGGGAATATGAGTGTCGCGGAAGTAAAGCCTAGTTCGCATTAAGCTAGTATTTTAGTCTAGTAGCGAGTAATTTAGTAGCTAAATTACTCGCTACTCACTAAAAATCGTTCGCACTTTGGTCGAGTACAGTTTACAAGTGAGTGGTGTTTTGCAAGATGAACAGCCTACAACGCAATAAAGTAAATAAACTGATTAATCTGATTAATCGGAATGTTTCATATGCTTATTTTTATAATGCAAGGACCTAATATTCCACAAGCATTCGTGTTCAACATATTTCGAAACAAATTTAAAAGTCATTTCTTCGCTCCAGCGAAACGACATTATGGCGGCAACTAATGAACTCGACTAATTCAACAGGTTCGTACTTGTTTAGCCGGTGAACCAGTGAGCTCGGACGCGTGGTGGGGGCTGCTACTGGCCCAAAAAAATAGAATAAAATGGATTGACTAAATTACTTACTAAACTAATCGACTACATTTTTAGTGTTCAGACACGTTTAGTTACTAAATTACTCGCTACTAGACTAAAATACTAGCTTAATGCGAACTAGGCTTAAGAGTCAAAATATTAATAATTAAAAAAAAACATTATATTTATATTTTTATAATAATTATTATCATTAATAAAAATACATATTAATTATTAATAATTTTATATTAATTATTAAGTACTTGGTTCATATAATACTTTTTTAGATTTACGCGAATATTTGACATTTGAAGTAAAACTATTTTTTCGGATTATTTCGAGGATTTATTTTGGATTTTTGGTTCCCGAAGTTTCAAATGCTTCGCAGTAATCATGGTCACGGGAGAGACTAAGGTATTAGACGTCTCAAAGGTCATTATACAATACTTGTTACAGACAGTGCCTACTTTTTAGGACCGGGAACCAAAAATCAAAATAAATCCGCGAAATAATCCGAAAACATAAGTATGAGTACTTACAAAAATTAATATAACTAATGATTTTATAAAAATAATTATATTTATATATATTTTGATTTGTTTTAATTTATTTGCGACTAGCGACTGACCCTCGTTTCGCTCGGATTTGTCGCTACTTATGTTTTAACGTTTAGTATAGATTACTCAGAGATGAGATATTTTCCCTCAGTAAAAAGTAACTTACATGTTGACCCGAATAAACAGCTATCATCATACCAAATTTCATCAAAATCCCTCCAGTGGTTTTTCTGTGATGCGGTAACAGACAGACATACGGGCAAAAATTCTAAAAACTATAGATTCGGCCTCAATATCGATAATAATGTCTATTTCAACAAGATTATCCAAAATATATTTAATGTACAGATTCGGCTTAGTTACAATTTTATTACAGGTATGTATTGATATCTGACACAGCGGCAAAGAAATTTTACTTCAACCGCGCGTAAAGTTTACACGCACTATTTTTTGTTAATAAGTGGTAAGGCAGTGTTAGCCCAGTGGTAACACAGTCGCTTGGGAAACCAAGTGAAGCGGGTTCAAATTCCGGATGTCACATCTTTGACATTTTCATGTGCAAATCATTTCTAACATGGTAATCATGTTGCTTACTGCTTTAACTTGCCTTACGGCGAAGGAAAACATCGTGAGGAAACCTGCATGTCTGAGAGAACCTAGCAAGTATTCGAAAGATATGTGAAGTCCGCCAACCCGCACTTGGCCAACGTGGTGGACTGATTCTATTGAAGGGAGACCCGTGCCCGGCAGTGGGACGTTAAAAAGGGCTGAATACAATTTTTGTTAAAGTTAAATCGCATTATAATAATTTAAATATCTTCAGATAAATCTTTTCCGCGGGAATATTTAAAAGAAGCGATTTATGTGAAACCGTATAATTTGTGCAGGTGAGGAAACGTCTACTGAATATTTATACCACTCTGAATATGTATTAGCACGTCGTTTGTTCTTGTTCTCGAGCGAGGCCACGAAATAAGCGGTACGATTGTGGTTTATGTTTTATTTTTAAATAAAAGAAAATATTTTATCATCGATCAATTACTTTCATTTTGTTACTCTTGTTTCGTATAACATTTTTTCGATCGATTTATTTACAATTTTTTGGTCTTAATGAAAATACTCGTATTAAAGGAATGTAGTTTTGTTATGGACAATTACGGTCCTATATGTCCATATTAGTGACTCACCCTTGCTTCGCTCAGGTTAATTCCTAGGCACGTTTTGACGCCTAGTAGGTATGTATGGAATAGATTTTTTTCAATTTTTTTTCGTGAATTTTTTCGATGTTTTAATTGTTATTCTGCTATTCGGGATAGTAATAAATTTGAAGCATTTTACTTTTTTTATAGATGCACTCGACGAAAGCGAGGGTAAGTCGCTAGTACTGAAAAAAAAAAACATTTGTAGGGCCTACCAGACACTGTAGATTTTCTATCAATGAATAATATATGTATATGCGGTTCGTATTCAATATGAATTGAAGTGCAACTGATTATGAACCCGATTAACTGTTAGCTGATAGAAAGCCTGCAGTCTGCGGGGACTTTTACCGCAAAAAAAATGCATACTTTTATTAAATAAAAGTCAAACTATGGAAGCAAACAATGTGTAAACATTATATTCTTTTTGAGCTGCAAAATCTCTTAGTCATTTTAAACCCCATAAATATCATAAATGCTAAAGCTTGGATGAATGTTTGTTAGTCAATCACGCCAGAACGGCTCAACGGATCTGGCTGAAATTTGGCACAGAAATAGATTATAGTCTGGAATAGTACATAGGCTATTTTTTATCCCGGAAAAATATACAGTTCCCGTGGGACAGACTTGTTTTTGTTTTTCACTAGGGACGAACCCGAGGGAAGCGACAGTGACTAGTTAGCAAATAATAAATTTAAAACATTTTTTAAGTAAAAAAGTTTTTTATGACAACATATTTTTTTAGATTAGACCTCTAGGGACAGGTCGCTTCGAGCATTATTATATTTGCCCTTGTATAAAATGCTTCACTGGCCTGAATTTAAAATGAGGCAATTTCTACTTATAACTAGCGACTCACTCTCGCTTCGCTCGGGTTCGTCGCTAGGTACGTTTTGAATAGATATAAATAGTTATTAGCCATATATATATATAATTTTTATTCTTTTTTCGTTAAATTTTCTGATGTTTTAATACTTATTATTCTATTCCGGATTAAGAGAAATCCAAAAAATTAAATATCATAAAAATTAGTCCAGCCGTTCTTGAGTTATAAATGGTGTAACTAACACGACTTTGTTTTTTATATATATTTACCTTATTTCATATTTTTTCTCTTTATTAAAACTTTCAGTGTACCCCACAAGGAAAAAAATAACTGAATTGGTCAAGCCATTCTCGAGTTTTGCGCTTAGCAACATTCATTTTTATTTATATATGTAGATAGATGAACAAAATTAAACTTTTACTTTACAGTTTAAATTCGTTTAATATTTTAATTTCTAAATAAAAAAGAGTATATTTTTTAAGGTTCCGTACTTCAAAAGGAAAAAAAAACGGAAAGTAATAGATTACTCGTGTGTAAGTAAAAAAAAATTGTGTGATCTGTACATATAATAAAACTGTAACTGAGTCGAAACTTTATTATCGAACATTAAATATTTTTTGGAAAATCTTATTGAAATAGTCATTATTATCGATACAGAGGCCGAATCTATAGTTTTTAGAATTTTTATCTGTCTGTCTGTTACCGCATCACAGAAAAACTGCTGGTGGGATTTTGATGAAATTTGGTATGGTGGTATACTTAGGTGGATACTTTTTAACGCGAAAAAACATCTCATTTCTGAGAAAAAATACAAAAACTGCATTGTAATAGTATACTAATATGTAAAACCTAAAAACG